TACCAGCGCATCGATTTATCAGCGATCCGCAAAGAGGATAGTAATGCTACTGTGACCATAGCCATGACGAACTAACGATCACTAGCGCCGGAGTCTAGCCAGTTCGAACTAAACTACCAGTATGGGTCTATATCAAAGCCTACTATAACCCGAGTATTACGCGCAGTACAGGGATAGGGTGCAAAAATATCGTGTGGAACTGCCAGAACCACCGTGGCAAAAGCATCACCGGCCGTCTCAGGTCCTAACAGTATTTTGTATACAGCTGGCAAATTCGTAGGAAAGGATATACGAACCCCCGTAGGGATCAACACGATCTTTTCGCACGCTACCTCAGTACAAGATAGTTTCCAAAATAAGATCCACATATCTATATCTCGAAGCCACTATACAGGGAAACTCAGAATACAAACAGACATCTAGAACAACACGCTCAATGCAAGTCTATAGTATATACATGACAAATAGAATTCAGCATGGTCTCAATCGTAGATCATCCAAGCAACATGTAGCAGACGCTGAAACAGAAACCCAACCCCAAGCCCAAAAACTAGATCGATAAGATAAATTAATACCGTAAGTAAAGCAAAAGCCTAGTCCGCATTATTGGCACAGGTGAAGCTGGCCCGGGAGCTGTCGTCGTGGATGGCCTTGCCAGAGGCGTACAATCCCAGACCGCACTGCGAGATGACAATTAGTATAACTCATATGACTCGGGGGCGAGAAATGGGTCACATACAATAGTACCGCCGATACCGACAATGAGGAAGTTGAGGATGGTCAGGGCAATCTTGCGAGGAGACGAGAACCAGTAGCCCCAGTTCATATGCAACCAGTACACGCCGCTGAGGCCGTAGGTGAACCAACTGGCGAACAACGAACTCTGTTTGGTAGACCAGTTAGCAAAAAGCCTTCTTTCCCAGTTCCGACGCAGGGGTGGAGAAACGTACAATCAAGCTGACAATGTTGGTGAAGCTGGGAATACCCTCGCCGATAATCCAAGCGATAATCCAGCAGGTCACACCAATAGCAACCCAGGAACCAACGGAGACGAAGTCGCGCTTGGCCATGCGGCCGGACTTCCGGAAGATGCGCACGTAGATGTACTTGAGACCGACGTGGCCGTTGACGACACCGGCACCGATGATGGTGGGGATGGCGACACCGTACGCAACTTTCTTGAGCACGGGACCAGCGGATCCGAGAGCGGGCGAGGCGACGCCGGTGCCGACGTAGTAGTAGATGACGGTGGCGGCGACGACGTAGAGAACGATCTCAAAGCCTTGCAGCAAGCACAGGGCCTTGGTGAAGTCCTTGGGCTCTTCCATCTCGGCGATCAGACCGAAGAAGGCGACGTGCGCGCAGTACGCGAAGACAATGTTCGTCACGGCAGTGAAGCCGTGGTAGATATTTGTCTGCTGGGTGGCGTAGATGTTGACGCCGCCTTTGTATTGGACGCCGACGCCGATCATGGTGATCATAACGGCGGAGAAGATACTAATGAAGGCTGCGAGGGTTGGTCAGTTGATTGCTCTGGAACTTTGGTCTAGTTCTGCAGGAAGACATACAGGCGATGGAGATGTAGGTCATGTTCTTGATCGTACGGGGCAGAGAGAGGACCAAGCAGATCACCATGCCCACAATACTGAAGACGATGGAACAGGTGCCATGCTCGGTGATCGTGTTCATCATGACGGTGAAGGTGACAATGTGACTGCCCATGATAAAGATCGAGAACAGAATCTGGCCCAAACCGAACAGTTCACGGCCGAACCGGCCCATGAGGATTTCACCAGCATCAGCCAGGTTGTGAATGTGCGGGTGTCGCTCGCGGAATTGGCCAATGACATATCCAGTGTAGAGGGCGAGAATACCAAGACCGACAATCAGGATGAGCGCCCTATCGACGAAATGTAAGAACAAGATTGTAGACGCAATATTCTGGGAGGACCCACGGAACGAAGCCCAGCGTATCAAGAGTAGCAGGAAGGGACAAGACTCCAAGGGAGACCGATTCGGCGATCATGACTAGTATTGTAAGCTACGCTATCGATGGGATAGGGCTCGTTCGACGGCTAAACATACACATTCCACATTGCCTGAGACGTTAGTCTAAGTCACCCGATGTCCAATGGATACGAGGGATCCAGAACTTACCACCACTTCAACGTCTTGTACTTGACCTCCGCTGTTGCCTCATTACCAAATGGGTCGTCGACAGGGATGTTCTGCAGTTCCGCTTTCAAATCATCATCGGCGTACATGTGGTCGCCATGCTTGTTCTCGATTGGGTCGGACGGTGGTGGAACGCCTTCCATCAACATCTTGACGCGACTATTGCGGGGCGAGAAGCGTCGAGGGGTGGAGAGTATAAGACAGTCAAGTATATAAGACAGTCAAGTTATCCTCTCGTGTCGAGCCCAGAGATGGCCAAAAGTGATGAGATAGAAGAAAGTCCAGAGGTCGTGGCAGACGCTATAAGACTATCCTCTCTCTTGCCGAAGACCGGGGCTGGGAGATAAGCGCAAAGGACGTTGAGGAAGTCCGCGGTGGGAGAAAATTCTCACAAGCCCTGGTGGGTCACGGCGTTGAGATCCCGTTCTCTCCACGCGATCCCCTTTGGAAGCAGAAGTCAGTCTGGAGTTAACGGTGGCCAATGCCGTGACAGACTGTCCGAGACTCCGAGGACCAGATCTTAATCAACAAACAAGGAACCTGGGGAACTGTGAGATCACACGATGCGCCCTGCTGCGTGCATTCCTGCAACGTTCTATGTGCAGAGATATACCCGCAGCAGCAAACTTTGCTAACATCGAGTTTGCGGGCTTGTGGCGACGCATTTGGTCGCGGTGTATACAGTTTTCCGAAACTTTCCCGGGTGCGAGGATCTCATAGGTGCAGATTTCAAGCTCGACGAACCCACAACTTGCATGCGGCCGTGGGCGGGAGGCCCCGCTCCAGCCAATGGGAATCCTTATCGAAATAAATTAAGTAACAGTTTGGACCCACTTGGAAAAGCTTTGCACCCACCCGGATTTCTGATTGGCTCGGGCCCCTTTCCATTACCCAAGGGTTTCGGTTGGAATCCGTTCCTGCCTGAGGATCTTCGCTTTTCAAGGAATAAAGTCATGTCTTGCTTTCTATAATTGAACTGCTCTTATTGCATGTCTCCAGAATCTCCCCCATATCTCCCCCAGGCGGCGATGCAATTACCATTTGCTATGTTATAATCGATTTCCTCCCCGGCTTATCTATGCCAAGACTCCGGAACAAGAGGGAAAAAAAAATCCTCTCGTTCATGGCCTGATTTTTATGCTGACCTGCGTTAGTCAGGAATTATTATTGTCTAATTTTTTACCTTCGGAATGCAACCGTGTCAGAGGCTTAATTTAGTGTCGATCCCAAGAAAAATTTATTTCTTGGTCAAAACCCTAATTCTCCGTGTGATTTAGGCTTCAGGTCTTAGCATATCGGTTAGAATGTCTCGTTCTGAATGTGTGTGCTGGGCCAGACCAACATCACCCCGCATCCTGAGTAAAGGCGTTATTGGCTGCGGTAAACCGGCAGTGAGCGAGAAGGAAAGCGATATAGTAATGGAATTGCCACTCGGTGTGAAAATCGACACTCTAGGGGTAATTCAGGGACACACCCAAACACTCACACACCGCGGACATCCGAAGCCGAGAGAGGCGACTACCGGATCGGGCAAGTTTCTCGATTTCTTCGGGCTGGTTTCCTCAACCCCAATTCCGTAGCACTACCCCAAATGCCCTCCGCGGTGCCTGGACGACTTGTTCCAACTTCCAAAGAGAAGGTTTTCTTGCCAGTTTATACGATGGGTGAACTTACGCTTTTTTGTATACGAACTTGGCAGTTTTCCACCACATCACGGCACATGTATATGTTGCATGATATCCGCAACTCAGACTACGAAACTGGCCGAGGAGCAACGGGAAGCCTACAACCCACTCCGAGTCTATGCGAAACGAATACCTAAGCTGCAGGTCGAAGCACAACAGGCTTCGCGGTGGATATGCGCCATTTTTGAGAGGCGTCTGATTGACTGTCTGCCGAAGACCCGGGCTACTCGGCGTTGGACGGTACACGTTTTCCCTTGTAGGTTGGTGGGGATACTGCGGCCTATATGTCATAATAATAAGCGATATGGACCGCTTCGGTCTCGCCGTGGAAATGCGCGTTAACCGACATTGACGCCCTTGCATTTCTGTCGCTGATCGTCTAACACGTCCGGTAGGTGTGGGGTATTTGGGGTCCCCGCAAGACTGGTCTATGGCCATGGACTGGACGTGCGGTCATTTCTCTCAACACGACCTATGTATGACCTGTATCTGTGGGATGTTGAGTTACGTCTGTTTCGCCCGTCTTGGTGAGGGAAGCATTGCACTCTGAAGGACTAAGACATTTTGCATCCTAATGCCAAGGCTGCACCATACCTGAACTACCCGACTTCAACTCAACGGCTACAAAATTGCTGTTATCCTTTGGTTTTCCAGCAAGGATGTTTGCGCATGTCTCTTTCAAGACTACCACGCGGTCATAACATATGGTCGATGTCTCGAATTTACAAATCCATACAAATATGGCTGAGATCGCATATACTATGCACTATATGTGTTTACCGTATGAAGGGTCCCTTGATAGCCTGATTGCAGAGTTTCGCTCTGCAATTATTTTATTTTAGCCAAATCCTAGTTGCACTAGTGGTACCTATAAAAGTGCCTACATGGCCCGATATGTATAGCCCTATTCATCAACACCATGATCTCATCTAGCTACCCCGCATGGCACGGATCAAAGGGAAGCCTTCTCAGTGGTGCGGCATTCGGCGCTTGCATATTTGTATCTTGGGAATTTGAAATATTCGTTGGTTTTAGAAGCCCAACGCCACGTTGTTGTCGGGTATATATACATATTATATGGTATTCCTCACTTAACCATAGTGGAAAATTTGAACACCCTATCCAGCTCTGTAACTAACCATGGCCCGTCTTCTTAACAAAGTAGCCTCATAACGGGTTCCTCCTCAGGAATAGGAAGGGCAATTGCCCTTCGGTACGCACAGGAAGGTGCACATATAGTCTGCGCAGACCTATCACCAACCGCCCGATCCCAGGTTCCCGATGAAGTCGAGATAGCCACCCACGACGCGATTATCAAAGCAGGCGGAAGAGCCATCTACATCGAAACAGACGTCGGCGATGCCCGCCAAATGGAGCGAGCGGTACAAACAGCCGTGGCAGAGTTCGGCCGACTGGATATGTAAGTATCACACGATTTCAATACCCTAACCACTAGGACGCGAATAACAGTTGCATAGTTTAGTCAACAACGCCGGGGTTTCCACAGACTGCCGGAATCCAGCCCGTATTCACGAAACAGATGAACATGTGTGGGACACAACCCTACGGGTCAACACCAAATCGGTCTTCCTTGGCTGCAAGTATGCGCTGGCGCAGATGCTGAAGCAGGAGCCTCATTCTTCGGGCGATCGGGGCTGGGTTATTAACATAGCTTCTGTGTGGGGGGTGGTAGGAGGGCTGGGTGCTCGTAAGTTATTTTCTGGGGATTTGGAGTCGGTTTATAGGCTTCGGCTGACGTGGTTGTAGCGGCTTATTGCGCGTCCAAAGGAGCTGTTGTCAACTGCACTCGCCAGATGGCGCTGGATTATGCCCCTGATCGGATCCATGTGAATGCTATTTGTCCTGGGGGTATGCGTTTCTTCCTTGCTTGCTTGTTCGGATGGGATTGCGTGCAGTCGTGTACTAACAACCGTCTATAGCTATTTACACAGCTATGGTACGCGATGTTGAGGAGACTTCGCCCTCTCAATTCGAAAATATACGTCGGATGCAGCCCTTTAGAGGGCTTGGACAACCGGATGAGATTGCCCGGATGGCGGTGGTGTTGGCTAGCGACGATGCCAGTTTGGTGACGGGGGTTTCCCTGCCGGTTGATGGGGGATACACAGCTCACTAGAGGAAGCCATATATACCGGCCAATAACGCCTTGATAAGGATATTGTGGTTTACTTAGTATTGCATGGTCGACTCTCGCAGTGGAAGCATACATCACATCTGAAATTGACCATATCAATATTGTTCTTCGACAGAACAGAAGCTCGTATGGAACATGTTGGGCAACTGGGCAATGCAAAATGGGAAACAACAGAACAGTAATATCCACACCGTCTATACCTGCGGAATATGCAACGTGCGCACAGAGGTAAACACCTCCCTACTATATTCACCCCCCTCCCTCCCTGTGCCGGAAGCCTTCATCCCTCCAAACGGCGTCCCTAGCTCCCGAACCAGCCAACAATTAATCCACACCAACCCAGCTTCGAGCCTCTCACCGACACGTCGCATGCGCGCTCCATCTTTAGTCAACAAGATACTAGCCAACCCATACTGGCTATCATTGGCCTTCCGAATCGCCTCTTCCTCCGTATCAAACGGAGTGAGAGTAACAACGGGGCCGAAGATCTCGTCCGTCAACAACGGACTCGACTCCGACACCGTCAAAACAGCTGGCTCTATCCAGAACCCTCCTTCCGGGTTTTCCGGTGGCACAGAACCGAGATGGAAGACGCTGACGGGGTCATCCGCAGCTAGAGCGAGATACGACCGGATCTTGTTATAATGTGGTAAAGAAACGACAGCACCGACTGTGTTACCCAGTTCGTAATGCTTTTTGACATATGAGACGAAGCGCGATACGAACTCCGACCAGATTCTCCTTTGGACATAGATCCGGGAGCCACAGAGACAGATCTGACGATCGTTAGTCCTCGACTTCCTGACTGGGCGTCTTTGGGCTGGGTAGTACGTACCTCTCCTTGATTCTCAAATGCGGCTGCCACTGCGGTCGCGACGGCCTTGTCCATGTCAACGTCGTCGAACACGAGAGTGGGATTCTTCCCGCCTAGCTCGAGCGATAGATGCTTTCCGATGTCGTCGACCGTATCGCGGCGGATTTGTCGGCCTGTGGTTGTGCCTCCGGTGAAGGAGATGCCTTTTACGAGCGGATGGCGAACCAGAGCTGAGCCGGTGGGGTTCCCAGGTCCGTAGACCAGGTTGATCACACCGGGGGGGAGTCCGACATCTTGGAAGACGGCTGAGAGGACTGGATGTCTATCAGGTCTGCCAGGTTTCATTGCAGTCAAGGGTCTGTATTACATACGGTAGGCTGTCACGCTAGTCAACTCGCTCGGCTTCGCCACGGCCGTACACCCAAAGGCCAGACAGGGCGCGATCTTCCACGTAAGAAGATACAATGGCATGTTCCATGGCGAAATAAGCGCGAAGACGCCTTTCGGCGAACGATGCTCATAAGTCAAGACGTTGGTATCGGTTAATCGAGCATGGGTTTCTTGGTGCAGGATATAGGTCGCAAAGTATCTGCCCCGTTGCACACGTTAATCCAAGAAACACAAGTATAAAGCGACAAGGAATTTGTCCCACCGGAAATTAGACACTGCGCGATCAATCTCCACCCTTGCGCGCGTCAGGGTCTTGCCCTGGTCGATGCTTTCCCAGACAGCAAACAATTCCCGCTGTTCCTCAATTCGCGAAGCAATGCGCTGGAGATACTGTGATCGTTGCGAGGGAGGTGTGGCAGACCACGAAGGGAAGGCTTCATCGGCGGCTTTGACGGCTTGGTCGATTTGCTCGGGAGTGCTGTTGGGAATGCATGCGAAGTGGAGGCCGGTCTTGGGGTTCATAGAATCAGTCCAATCATTGTGGGGGTGAGGGACGAGGTTTCCATTGACGAGGTTTTGGAGCTTGAAGGGCTGGAAATCGAGCGTCTGAAGATGGCCTTCTGCATCTTCAAGGGTATCCAGTTCCCATAGCTGTGGAGACATGGCCATTGTAACTCTAGGCGACTTCAGATTAATACAGGTCATAAAGCACCAGGAAAAGAGAAAAGATAAGGAGTTGGGAACATCTCATCCGACGACGGCAGCATGCATCGGATGTTATCCGGTCCAGTGAGTGTGGTCTGATCCTGTCTTCCGGGTGTAAATCATGCCAAGAATCCACTAAGATTAACAGTCTCACTAGAGCACACCCGAAACCTGGAGAACACCCAAAGGGGGCATTGTTGGTGCTATTATAAGAACTATGGAGTTGACGATTACTTGCTTAGGGCTGTCTGCTGTCCCAAAAGGGTTATATGGGATAACCCTGACTACTCCACCATTTGTACAATTCATGGACCAAGCAAACCATATAGATTAACTACCACCGCGCGCTCCATAATTTATAATCCGAGAGCTATTTCGGATCCGCGATCGCTCCACAGGCCCCACATCGCCGACTCTCCTCATCCGTCTGCCATCTCTCAATCAATGGCTTCAATTGCGTGCCCAGATCAGCACAGTGGAAGACTTCCTCGCGTATGATTGTTGGTTCCTCATGCTGTCCCTTTCTACAGTACCATCGTAGACGATCTAAGGTATCTTCTGGCCGCTTGCGTTCCATGACTAGGCCGATCGTGTCCGTGAATCGAACTGGGTTGTGCGGCGTGTTCCCTGTTACAATTAACATAAGGCCGTTTTGTGATGGGACAATCCAAACAAACCAGGAAGTAAGAACATTTCTCCCTCCTTGATAGATATCTCGCGAAAAGTTGTATTATTCTCGATGATATGCAGCAGCATGTCGCCTCTGACCTGGTAGAACCATTCTTCGGTTTGGTTGACTATCATTGAAGAAAACCAGTTAATGTTCATTCAAGTGCAAGTCTCATCTCAAACCAAACTTATCAAAAGGGCCTAATACCATGGTAGTCGTTTCGAGCATTGGGTCCCCCGACAACCATCAGAGTAAAATCCTCGCCGGAGTAGAGGCAGTAATTGTTGACCGGGGGACGGAGTTTATCCTCATTCTCCGCTACCCACGATGCGAAAGAAAATGGAGGGATCATTTTGGTAAACGCAACTAACAATATGCGGGAAAGGTTTCCATTCACTGCCAGGAAGATTATAAGGTAGCGTAACTTATATGGTCACTGCGCTTGATGCTGGCATTAACAGTCGCTACGAACCGCAGGGTTCCGGGGCTCTATCACTTGAGGCCCGCGGTTCAGACATCATAGGTGCGCCTGGGATTTATCTCCATACACACACACACCTTACTTCCCTTCAGGTAATCTTGATACATGTTGGAGAGCCGTCCTTTTCCCCTCAGTACAGTTAGGGCTGATCACCCGAGGAAGCGGAAGTAGATCCGGCGGATACGGATGACGGATGGTGATCCGCTTGAAGTAATGATATTAGGCTTTAGTAGTGCTGAGGGGGTACACAGAAAACATGTAGCCGATGTATTGGTGTTAACCGTGCACAGAGTTGAACGGTCTGAACTCTGTGCTCTCGTAAAGTCTACGAACATTCGCCTAAACTGGGGTGGTTGATTCGGTTCGGTAAAGCTATTCCACGTACTCTATGGAAACAGCGGGCTAGAAAGGCGGGGTTCAACGTGTAAACATAATAATCTTTTTTTTTTTTGGCATATATCCATAGCTTTCTGTGTAAAAATGTTGTATGCATGTAGGAAAGCCTGGGGAAAGCCTTGGCACATGTAATGGTAGCTTTAAGTTAGTAAAACCCCCTGTCTCGCCAAACAGAAAGAAGGTCCCTCCCTCTTCCAGAAGATTTAAGTAACCCATAGTATGGCGGTACGTGGCATAACATCTAGATAATATGTAGTTGCATACATGTAACTGCATGCTGGTTGCACGTCATACACGCAGCCCTGGCTCATGGTTGGTAATTGAAACTCAGTAGAATTAGACTATCATGATTCATCTAGAGAGTATCTGGGGCAGGAAGTCATTTATACTCAAAGCGTATCAAGATATGGTATTGCACATTGCTCATTACGCCTAAGATACATCGACTATGCCTATCGTAAATCATGTCTCTGTACTTTGTACCAGGAAAAGAAAGCGAGAGAAAAAAAAGAAAAGAAAACAGAGAAAGAGAGTGGTTAAGACAAATGGGGCTTCGAGCCATTCCCCTTCTCACAGGCCGTCAGCCTCATTTCCAGTAAATTCCTCCATTTCTCATCCGCGTCCAGATTGAGAAATCGCAGCGCATTACCAGCCAACATATCCGCTCTTTGCTTCTGTGAAAGGAATTTGTCCAAGCGCTTATCTCGTGCAATCATTCTACCAGCTTCCGGGACTTCGCCCAAGGGAAACGGATAATCGCTGCCCATAACGATCCGATTTGGTCCGACCTTCTTCACCAGAAACTCAAGAAGATCAACATCGTGAGTGAGACTGTCAATCCAGATATTATCACGCACTGTCGCGTGTTCCATGGGAGTGACACCACCTGCATCTGTGGCTACGAGATCCGGTCGACAGTCATATCCATGCTGAATACGCCCCAGCAATGCAGGAAAAGAACCACCCGCATGAGCAAAGCAAAGTCGAAGCCGAGGGAACCGTAGCAGCGTCCCCGAGCAAATGAGGAGGTGCAAGGCAAGCGCTGTCTCGCTGGGCATGCCAACCAGCCACGAGCTCCAGTACCTGGACCAGAGTTTCGGGTTCTCTTTTGGCCAGGTGTAACCCAGCGGGTGAATGAAGATGGGCATCTCGAGTTCCTCACATGCCTGCCAGAATGGGTCTAACTGTGGGTCATCTAATGTCATCCCGTCGATAGTAGTGCCGATTTCCACGCCGTGTAGGTGGAGCTCGCTCTTCGCCCGATGCAGCTCTGCTACTGCCGCTGGGACATCCTGTAGTGGCACTGTGGCTAGGCCCAGAAACCGGGCGGGGTGTTGTGCACAGAGACTAGCGATGTGGTTGTTCAGGTGCCTGGCTAGGATTGTTACCGGCTCGGCAGGCTGGTCGTAAAAGAAGAGAATTGGGATCGTGCTGAGCACTTGGATGTCGGTCCCTGCGGCGTCCATCTCCGCTAGACGTGTGTCGACGTCGTAGCAGTTCCGGCTAACTGTACGGAAAAAGCGATCGCCTACGTACATGTCGATATCTTCTGGGTTCTTGGTATTTGCCCGGAGAGACAGCCATGGGGAATCTGTGGAGTTTGAGGGGTATGATGAGAGATCTGGTAGAGAGGGCGGCATGATATGCGTATGAAGGTCGATACGCAGAAGATGATGGCAGTCGTGGCAATACATGATGATTTTCGGCTTTACTTTGGAGTAATGAATACACTATCATGGAAGATTTTACTGTGTTCTTTATTATGCTTTCTATATAAAAGGAACTCATCGATGCATCCGTCTTCGTGTTCGTCCGGATGCTTCCCGGAATCCTTCCGGGTGCTATTGCTAATGGATTATCGTGACCACACGGCTTGTCAACTTGGAGATGTAGCCTCTAGATTTCTCTGCTCGGTATCAGTACAGGCTGTAACCGAGGTGTCCACATACTAGTAGGTAGTGGCATCCCCACATCGGAAGGATATCCACGCGCCAGAATTGGAAACAGCATCGAACACGGTTGGCCAATGTCTGTCAGTATGTGGGCCACACACGGAAACTTGGATACATCCCAGGTTGATAAAGTGGACCAGTGACGGAAGCCATGGTTAATTAGGGGAGGAGCTATTAGTACAGAGCATGCAGAAAAGAGATATTATGCGAAGCCAATAAGGCAGTGGCGATGTGTGGTGGTTTACAATAGGATGTGTTTGTCGGTATATGGACTGGGCGTTGACCACAGGAAAGAATGCGGAGTAGAACAAAGCAACTGTGTAAAGAAGAAAGAAAGAGAAAGGGGATACAGCAATGAGGAATAAGGAAACGAGAAAATGGAAAAAAAATAGGGATGAAAAAAGAAAAATAAAAAGATAATTCCGATGCGGGGAATCGAACCCCGAGCTGCTGTGTGAGAGACAGCGATGTTAGCCATTACACCACATCGGATGTTGTTGAAGAACTACTTCTTATTTTGTTACACAGGTGAAAAATAATGGGTCAGCGAAGCTCTGGTATCATTGCGGTCTATCGTTAACATATGATAGTAATTGGTTAACAGGATGTAAATAGGCACTATATAGGGGAATATTTTTTACAAGTGGATCTATTCTATAATTGATGAGACAAATTTTAACACGCTGGCTTTTCAAGCTGGGCATTGACGGTGCATGTCAATTCATGCTAGAAATATATCTTTATAGCATAACAGCTCTTGGCAAGTCGCTTTACCTGACGAATATTTCTTTTGGTTCCAGATCTCTTATTTTTTGAATCACTTTGTGAAGCCTTGAGAATATTTGTACCAGCTTGTTTATATAGAAGCCCCTAGGCTCTCAGCCATAGATCCCTTTATAATTAAATTATTTGAGTTTTTCATCTTTTGTCGTTCGCTCAGTTCTCTACACATCTGCCCTATATGTGCATAAGATGAGATGTTGAAAACCTGGGCGCGAAGAAATATAAGAAAGTGACCTCTTCCGATTTCTTCGAATGGTTAAGGGAGGAAATTATTGATAGTCAAATAGCTTGCCAAATACCAACCGCTCACAAGAGTCCCTCAATGAGACCTTGGTCTTGACCTAAAACACACGGGGGAATGGTGAGCTCCATGGAGATGTATATCCAATGCCACTTCTTACCATACAATTTTTAAGCTTAAACGTAATTTGCTACATACATCTATACAAGACTCAGTCGGCTTCATTCATATTCACAATTTCCCTCAGCATATCATAGCATATCTTCTCACTCACAACGCTATCCTGTTGATAGTCGTCATGCTCAGCAACAAAGTCTCTCATCCACCTCGCAGGAGTGGGCAGAGTACCACTCGCCCGACAACTGATGAGGTTGAGGTATTGCATCAGCTTGGCCTCTTCATTGGGAAGCAAATCCCGTTCTAGAAGATACGATCGAACGATGGGCACCAGTCCAGGGAATCGAGCCGGCAATGTCGAGTGCTCGCCGTTGATGATCTCGTCAATGGTCATCAGAGCATATGTGTCCTCCATCTGTGACTGAGAGCAGCCGTGTTGAGGATTGCATTGGACAGAATTCAGCCCTCCTGGAGCCCAGTCCCGTCGACGGAACCAAATGCGTTCCTTGGTCACAGCATCAAGCTTTTGCGCCAGTTGCATGGACTCCGTCACCAATTCGATGGGGATATAGAAGTTCAGCCGGTATGCCATTATGGCTTTGGACAACAAAAACATGAACACTGCGAATGCTGCGTTTTCCGAATCTTTGAGTTGAACCTCCATGGGGCGGAACTCAATCCGCCAGCCAGCCCCTGTGCTAGCTTCTGGCATTTTCAGGTGGACATGCTTCCACACTCCGTGTTGAAACTTTTCGAACATATGAGTAGTCTCCGGGCTGCTCAACTCGATTGCATCTTGGTTCAGGCAGAGAGGATCGTGCCATAGAAGATTGGAAAAGTATGAAGCTATAGATTCGTCCATGCCCCCATCAAGAAGCTGCCGCTTTGCTGGTTCGTCCATTTGAACTTGTCCACAGGCATTTGATATGTCTGTTGGCCGCTCATGAGACAGGTACACCCGGTTGGATGACCAGCGAGTTAGTGGACTCGAGCAACATGGCTTAGAAGTTTCGAGAAATTTGAATTCTTCCTCCTGCGTACGGATATCAAAGCTAGCCGTTAGGTAGTCCCACCGGGAGTCTGTATTAACCAGGTACCCCTTATAGATAGGGGTTGCTGCTGTTAATGCCAGCATAGTGGGACCGAGAATGACTAATTGGTCGTGTAGCCATCTCGCATCACGCTCGTTCGCAGCTTGAACTGTGGTCTGGAGTGCGCAGCATGCTCCACCAAACGCCTGTCCTTCGAGATAGACAGAGTCCTTCCCAAACAATGCTCCTTCGGCTAAGCAATCTTCATCTAGGAACGGTCTCGGAGTGTTACAATCCCTATATATTGGGACATGGAGGCCAACTGGACGCTTTCTTCGACCAAGAACTTGTTGGTTTATGTAGGAATACCGAAGCCCCGGAGCCACCACTTGAGGTGGCACCATTCTGTGGTGCACGTCACTCTGCAAGGTGTCATAGTGGGGAGTCGTGAATTGGCCTTTGGTACCTAAGCGCGGAAAGGAGGCAATAGTGAGCGGGTATTGGGTAGGCCCCAAAAGATCTCTGATTAATGCTCGTCTGTAATTGTCAGACCACTGGTAGAACTAATACTGAAGACTACGCACTTACCTCCGTTTCATGTTCTTCTCAACATTGAGCAGGTCCCGTGTTTCGTCGGTGTATGGCTTAGAAGGGGTGGACTCGATCGAAAAGTTCTGCCATTCTGGCTGCAGATCCATGGCCTCATATTCGGGAGATTCCCTGGACTCTATGTCAATTGGATGATCCGTGGTCGCCATCGAGCTCCAATCAGGGCTAAATCCTCACTTACCCCAACGTGCTCGAAACCTGATCATTCCACCGATGCAAGACGTTCTCCTGATCCAACACTGCCGTTGCGCGAGATTGCGAAGGATCGAATTCTACCATTACATATTCCAACTACATAAGATGTTCAGAATAAAGACCGCATGGCTCTCCCAGCTGAAACGTACCTCGTCACCCCATAGGGCCCTCGGGTTATCAATGTCCTTTCCCCGTCTCCATACATTTAGGATTTGCTTAGAGCAATATATGTTAGCATTGACCGAACCCGACACGTAAAAGGGGATGTCGCTGTACCTCGGCAGCCCATTTTCGCGCCTGAGGGCCAATCTTCTGAAGCTCCTCCGGCGACAAGGGCGCTCTTCCGACCCATCTATATTTTGTTAACGGGAGAACCCCGACGTTTGTACGGATGTCTCGAGGCAAGTCTCAACGTACGCACGACCCATTATGACCTAAATGGAACGAGAGGTATCAGTAGTAGGTTGATAACGGTGGATTTGCTGATCATAGTCAGGTATCCATATTGTTGGGTGCGCATAACGGCGGTTACCAATAGAATTATAATTGTAGTAGTAAGGAGCTGAGACGTAGAGCAATAATTGTCTTTAAATTACATTGCGTCAAGATTATACTAATATGGAATATTTCTAGGCCGCAAACAGCAAGTATAAGGTATATATTGGGTTACACTCATTCCGAACCGTGGATGAGTCCCGCCTGGTTCGCAATGACACCCGTGATGATCTGCCTTGGACTAAAGTTTTAGTTGCCCATTTCTCTCATTTGGCCAGTTCATACAGCCGCTGTCATAAGTTTTCAAGCAGAGAATGACCCACCCAGAGACTAGAGCCTGCTACACCTCCATGCGACAAGTATACCAATGGTGATGTCACCATTGAAGTACGCAGCCTTGGCGATCATATATGGATCACGAAAGATGGCGTGCTTATAAGTAATTGTTTTCTTGAGTTGTATGATTAAGTAGATCGACCGTTGTTGTGAACGCTTATTAAAGATGAACACGCTGATCAAACATAGGATTGCCCTGGTATGCGAGTTCTGGTCCGCCTATAGGGTATAGGGCTCTTGCTCAGGTCTTCAAAGCATTCCAGATCCCGTTTGCGTTAGGGCGCATCTTAACAGGTTCTTAATGCAGTATTAAAGACAAATAACTAGTGTTTATACGAAACATAAGGCTTAGTACTCCGCTCGAGTTAATAAGCTTGATTCATTCCGCCACATAAGTAGATTTCTGATGAACAACTGGCAAGTGCCCAGATATATATTGGTTTTAATACCAGCTACAACCAGCCAGAGAAGGACCCGACAGGCTGTATTCAGGTATAAGGAAAACTTCTCTTTATACCTTTTTCGCCATACCCCACTCTAGTTCGAAGGCCCCGGTTCGAGAGCAAAATGATTGAACTGATATCAGGTGAGCTCCATTTTCAAACATCATTAGAAACTTGATGTTTGTAAACTTACGTCAAACCTCCACATCCTTGTCCCTGTACCGCTAGTACAAAACAAAATTGTGCATGATACACCGGGCGGTTCTGTTGATCAAAGTGTGGGATAGGTATCATGAGTTGATTGTCTTCGACGGACAACCGAAAGATATTTTGGCTTCCTTCTAGCATCGAGTCCAGTTTCACTGAATTCGACTGGTGCAGAGAGCTTGTCAGTCTCACAATCCTAATTGCAATATCCCATTGCACCCATTTCTGCGTTGGACGTGGCCACTTGGGAGGTGCCCGGAAGCGAAACACGTAGAGCTTGATGCGACCAGTTGCGCTTGATGCATACGAGGGAAGAATATCGAATGTAGTCGGCGGAACCTGTTGACCTATTGCTGCAATACCGTACTCACGATCCGGTGGGAAGTGGAGATAACACCCCTCTCGGGGAACCCTTCCGGTTGGCAATACTCTCAAGCATTTATTTGTGTAGATGGCGTTAGCCCAGCCAAATATCTCCTCCAGAACCTCTGCGGTAAGGCGTACGCACCATCCGCCCACGCCACTTGGGTCGATACTACATGGAGTTTTACCGAGTTAGTCTTCAAAGACGGGGTAGAATGGAAGAAACCCAGAAAAGGGGAAGGGACTCACTGTATGCCGACGACGGTGGCATATCCATTATGCGACAAGAACACAGGTGATCCGCTCATCCCTGGTACTACAATGGCATTGTATGTCATTCGGTCATTCTGACAACTAAGACATAGCCCTGTGCTTCTAGAAAGCTTGCCCAAGTTCGGATAACCGCAAACCCCAAGGCCGTCGCCTTTTAGGTTCGTTTGACCCAATATTAGGGCAAAACCATAACCACGACAGTGCGATTCGACCTTCATATCAACCAGAAGTGCTCCATAACCTGGGTCCATGCTGGTATTGCTCGCGCAATTCGGGTCGCAAGCAGAGAGAAATATCTCCATATGTCCACTGTGTATCGAGGTGACCAGGCCATGTTCGTTGTAGATCTCCAAGTCCTCTGATGGGTAACCTTTTTTATCGATGAGATTACGTCTGGCGGTGAGCAAGACAGCTTTCTCAACATCAGGGACAGCAATACTGAATGCAGTCCCGTAACCGATAACGCCTAAAATACTCTGTCACAACCAGGCCAAAGGCTCTAAGGTAGTCATTCCGGCAGATATTTTTCGGGGATAGAACGAACCTCCTTGCTTGAACTTGAGCTTGAAAGTCCAATTTTTGAGTTGGCCAAGCTCCAAAGGATTTAATCCATGTAACTCTTCAGGTACCGTGTCCGACTGCTCTACATTAACTAGTCCCATTTTTTGTACATCAAGGTGAGTTTACCTGTGCAGGCCGCCTTGCGCGTATTATTTGCCCTCATGGTTTCCTTATACCTTGACAGTGCCTGTTGGAATTTGTCTGCTGCAATACGATACTCCTCTGCTGCTTCCAATACTAGAGCGGCACGCCACAATCCATCTGGGTCACCCGAAAGACTCCCGTTTCGGTGACCTGAGTACCCAGGTAACCTGCTGTTCAAGGAACTTTGGGCATCCTTCTGATCTGACAATTTCCAATAGGGATCCTGCCAGTCCCAGGAAAGAGGAAGGGTCAACCGAGTGTTATGCTTCGGCTGCCGGAGCTCCAGAGGTGCCGCAATCATTATTATGGAAAAGCTATCACGGCATAGGCGAATTATGGTAGGTTTCGCCGCTCCCTGTAGCTGACAAACTAGATCGCCTACTTGGACGGGCTTTGCTAGAGCTGGTAGATGCCATTGTATCTGGGGTCCAAAGCTTCCATCTGTATCTTTTGTAGCGAAACTCACCTCCTGTCCATCTTCTCGCTGGCTTCTTTTCGCTGACAGTACTTTGCCCAGAATATAACCCCACCCACTTATTAAAGCGCATTCAGATTGATCGTAAGTGCTGATGTATACAGCTCTCCCAAGTAAAAATCGAACAAGCCGCGCAAAAAGCGTTGCCCATGGTGTGCTATAGTCAGGCAGTAAAGCAGTCGGAATAGACTCGTCAGAACACATGCCCAGCAAGGCAAATAGCTTATCATGTTGCCTGGTAGCTTCACGGGTGTGGTACATCTCAAGTAGGTCGCTCAGAGGGCGTATATTCAATGAGAATTCGCTTGAAATGCTCTGTATTACCTTTGGCCGAAATAATGACTCTCTCATGAGGAATGCCACGGGAAGAACGACGGCTTGTAACTCAGGGAAATCCTTATAGAGAGATTCAAAAGATCCTGATGTAAGACCAACGCAAAACACATATCCGTCCATCTCTGTAGCCCCGCACTTGATCAAGATCTGTCGTGCGGCCGCAACCTCTTGAAGCACCTGGATTATAGTTGTCAGAAAAAACATTTAGTTTTGTGGGTGAGTTTTGAGATACCCATATGCGCTTAAACCAGGGTCGCTGGAGCAAAGAGAACACCGCTTCCTTGGTAAACTTGTCGTCCACGCTGTGCGGTCTATGAGCTGCGATCCGTATTTTCTCAAGTGCTTCATCACTATAATGGGCCGAGTTCCCGAGCCAAACAATCACACTCTTGGCTCTAATGTATATTTCAGCCATGCGCCGAACCTGCTCTCCCCTCTCCTTGAGATCCTTCTGATTTATGCAAACCGCGTCTATCCAGATGATTCGCTCGATGTACGGGTCACGAATATGCAACAGAGCTGTGTGAAGATTGGCAGTCACCGGGAAATCACAGTCCTCTAATGAGATTGATTGACAACCGTTCAAGCCACCCCAGACGTATGATATAGCCTCGTACAGGTGCGTTTTGCCTGCCAACCGCTCTAGGGGATAGCTGAACAGGCAACCTTGAATATGGGAGTCTCTCTCCTCGCTAGGCAGTAAGCGCAGCAGGCGGATATATCCCCGGGGCAATGGACGGTAATGGTACTGATTACCAGCGCTGCGTTCGCGACTCTCCGCTGGCTCCATGGCGCTTGTGTCCTCACTATCATGATCTTTTCTCCGTTTTGCCCAGCCAGCGATTCTAGATAAAGGAGTTCGCCGCATCCTGGCCCAGAGGAAAGAAACAGCTTAACAAAAGCTGCGGGGCTCTGTTAGTACTCTTCAGGCTTTATAGGTTGGCCTCGTACTGGCATCTAACAATCCAATCATAGCGCCTGTACGGATACCAAGATCTCTGCTAATCAATGTGATTGGTGTAAGCTACAGGTCAAAATGAGGCGATACGCGCTGACTTGGACATATCAAAACAAAGCAACGAGACCGCATGACTGTTCCCGAAACCAGCCATACTATGTTGAATGAGATGGCGTTTATTTAAATGAATAAAAATAGTGCCATTATTCCAGTGAGCTGTTTAAAACTGGATCTACCCTCACTTTGCCGAGGGCGAATAACTGGCTGATAAGGAAAGGCAAAGTAGGATATCGGTTCGCCTCGATGGATCTGAGCGATCGGCGCTGCATGCATAGCTGCCCAAAGTCTGACACCCTGACTGAAGTGTCATATATATGATCACACTGACATGTTTTGTTGTTTGTATAAGGAAAAAGCTTTATATTGAAAGTTTTGGGTCATAGAATCAGGAGAAGAAGTGTGCACTTGTAGCCTACCCTATACCCTACCAATATACCTCGTCATCGCAGCCACCTGGACGAAATTGGGGGCGATGGCTATGTGGAATCATGTTGCTTTCTCTTGTTTGACCATTAGAATCCACAACTAGAAAGCATAACAATCACGGTGATTTATATTAACTAAGGTTGCATGGGCCACGTTCGGTGGAAAGAGCAGGTTCATTTGTCTTGCTAGACAGTATAAAAGACGGGCTAATGCTTTCGCCATCCTCACGGTCATCGATATCTGATCATTCGGTATCCACGCTCCCTAGATACCATGGGCCGTCAGTTGTAATGTCCGACTCGAATGATGGTACCCGTGGTAGGCTAGCCGAGCCAATCCGTTGCCGTGTTCTTCCCCGTTCATCCTCAAGACAGGCTTCATCTGGCTTCCGTTTCTTGGGGCTAGCACTTCGAGATTTCTCCCTGATAGGCATTAAACGGCACTGTTCCGCACTGACCATCTTCACCGCAGGTAGACTTCCAACCGTAGTCAAGCCCGCAGAGGCTTGGTACAATGCGAGACGTCAGGGAACGCCCGCCTGTAAGAACATGGGGATATACTGAAAGATAGTCCATGCAAATCGGGCAGATACATATTCAGGAGCTACACCACAGAGTGGCTGAAGCTTTACGTTATGGTAAAGGGATGTGAGCTCATGCGGTTCGGGAGAGTTCACCAGATGTGCGACATATGACAGGGGTTGGTTGCCCGTGGACTGTGCGCTGTTATTGATGGCATGCTCAGGCTTGGGTACAAAAGAAAACCGCTTATAGTCAAATGATGAGTGTATATCCGACCGGAGGAGGATAACGTTACGGGGAGTGTCTACTGGCTCATCACCTGGTGAAGGAAGTCTACCATATCTACTCATCATGTTTCTCTGGAACCATATGCTTTGACTTCGAGGAATTAGATGAGCACACTCCGTTCCTTCGATGTGGTTGGTTAATCGGCAGCGGATGTCGCGTGAGAGAACAGCTTCAGCTAGTGTGCTCTGTCTTGGCGTTGGATGGCTTGCCTCGCGAGGGATATCAAGCTTCCACCCAGGAGGCAGCTTCTCATGGGGGAACATCCAGTCCTCAAAGCTAGGGACAATAGGGTATGGATCTGTGAGTAGTTAGACTCGCTATCAAAGGAACGGCTAGCCTTCTAACCTGGATGATCACCCGGCACATGGAAGTAATACTTTCTCTTGTGAAGGATACCGTCCAGCGGTAGCTCCACCCGTACATTTCCTTCACGGTCTTCTGTCAACCAGCCATCAAAGCTGTTATTTGCAAGCACACCACATGCCGAGAGCGCGATTCGGTGATGAATTCCACCTTTTGGGCGGTCATGCCTGGCAGAACTAGAAGGATGTTGTGAGGATCTGGGTAACCCGGATGATGAAAGTAAATATCATATTCTGGGTCAAACGACAAAGGAGAGGCGGTATGAGGTGTTGGGTTGCCAAAGGCAGGTCGCTGAAGGGGAATTACTTCATCACTGGATAGAGACATTTAGACTTGCTTCTCTTCCAGTCCCACGCGTTTATTGTCCCGGCCGGAAATGCGGATCAAGAGTTGTTGAGGAGACGAAGGAAGCCGAGGCAGTGATTCGTCATGTGACCGCCGGCTCCCGTCACCTGCCCCACAATGCCCTTAGAGAAAATGAAAGTGTTATCCAGGGGCCAAGACTTAATGGCGACCAGATCTTATCAGTTCATGGGAGCCCAGAAATCCAGTGAATCTGGTAAACAAGGTTGATCTGAGTAGCTGAGAAATCCAAACCTATAGAGTTGGGAAGACTTTCTGGGAGCTCAAGCACCACAAGCAGTGACTCGGAATTCCTATCTTGCTTGTTGCTTATTGCTCATGCGGAGCATTCTTGCGGATGCTAATGTATTCTATATAATGTGAATCTAGTGCAATCTATGTGTACTTCATATGACTGAATATTGTTCATGGAAAGTGCATCATTTTCTGGCTATCAAGCAATAAAAAGGACTCATAGCGTATTCCTCTGAGTACAAATTCAGATGGCGTAATTGCGTCTGTGATGTGTGGCGACGCCGCTGCCCATCCGTTGAGAAGTTCGCGCCAATAACATGACTCTGCAGCTGGAGTTAAATATCTATCCCGAAAGGTAGTCACACTGTTATTGGCAATGCGCTCAGCAGACGCTGGATCCTCTAGTAACGCCTGCATCTTTCCTGGCAGATCAGAAAAGTCGCGCTCCACTTCGACAAAATTCTGATCTGGACCGGACGAGACAAGGAGGTAGTGATGATGTTGGATATACTGGAGTTTATGTGCGACGACGACGGAACCGCATGCCTGACGATATTTCAGAGAAGCAGAATAGGATCGTCCTAGTCCACACCTGTCAGCAGTGTCCATTGGGACGAGCAGGGAAAATCATGCTCACCTTCTACATGAGCAATAAAGCGATAGCGACAGTGGTCCTCCATGCTAATAAAGTTCGTCTGTTCCTTCCATACTATTTCCTTGACATCGGCCCATGGCTGATTCCTTGCTGCCTCCAACAATGCCCGTCGCATCTTCGCCGCAAAGCTCAGTTTCCCCCTCCATACCAGTTTTGCCTCTTTCTCTTCCCACGGTGCCTCTTTATGTCGAATACGATCAACCACCTGAGTATACGGACCGATTTTGCCGTCAACCTTGCCGTGTTCCCATGCCCAAAAGCCAAAATCTGGCATGAGCCACACGGCTTGTTCCTCATGCTTCCGGGCTAGTACCCATAGAGGGTGATGTGGACTGGCAACGTCGTCTACTTTGTCTTCAACAGAGAAGACGAACTCCGTATTAGGCAGAGCAGAAGTGTCAGGGCCCGTTGCTAATGCCCGATGGATCGAACCCAAAATGCCCAAGATCTTACGGCGATGGTCATCTCCCCTGGAATGAGTGGATATCACATATAGCTGACCGTTGACAACTGCTGCACGAGTCATACCATCAACCAGATGAATCTCATTCAGGTCAAGCATCGATATGCCACTCTTCGCAGCCCAGAATGTCTGTGCGCGGTGGACATCTTCGAACAGGCCTGGAAAGAAGCTCTGGCACTGGGCAGCATTGAGGGATAGGTTGTGTGCGTCGTAGACTGGATTATAAGTTCGTGCCATTGGTGTGGCATTGTCAGATTGACCAGAAGGGCAATGGAGGCAACTCCCACATTCGAATGACACAGCTGTTTGGCAGGCACAGTGGCCAGCAGGAATGAGATGGTTGATTAAGGCCGGTACATTGTCTCGATCGGAGTTGACACCGAACCACAGGGACCAGATGAACAATGCAAGTATGGCACCGACGACAGCAAGGAGACCGAGACGAAGCAGACAACGGCTCTGGGTCGGCTTTACCATGATGTCTATGGTTTGAACGACATGGCGAGCGAATGTGTTTTAAGAAAATCTCTCAGCAGAATTTCAAGGAAGCCTGGGACCCCATTGCTTAGCGTCCCCCAACCCGGGCAAAACGATGTAACATCATACCCTGGTCAGTAAGGGGCATTATATGATGTCTTGACTGTGCAATGGTCTCGTGTTGGACGGCGCCTTTCCGTTTATTCGCTGGTCAAGTAGATCGCAGCACCCTTAACTTTTCCTTTCTCGGAAATGATCATGGGCATAGCGTTGGCCCATCACCCTTATCCTGGTTCTGTTACTAGGATTAAAGGACTAGTCGTGCGTTTCGGGGGCGCGGCCAGGGCCATTTTGGTGGTAAGGCCCACAGTGACGCCCGAGGATGGCTTAGGGCCTAGAGGGCACAAAGAACAGCCCAGCCCCACCCTATAAAGCTGTGTATTATTATTGAAAGCCTACCGAGTAGAGGATATTATCATCAATATTTGGAACTTGTGGTAGGATGGCCAGATGTACCAGGCATTTGATGAGATACTCAGATAAGCAAATGCTAAGCACAATGGTACAGAGTATGGAGCGGAAATGTGGCAGCCAAAACCATATCAGTGGCGCAATGTCAAGCTTCTTATTCTTGGCGGCAAGCCAAGCTCCATATGAACACCTGTGGGCCTTGTGGTAGGCTTATAACCCTGGCTACCAAGCTTCTCCCGTCTTGTTTTTGATCGGGGGTTCAGGATCCTTCGTCTGTCCATTGGCGAATTTTCGGTATAGCTCGTTCGCCAAATCTTACGTGTCAACAGCTACGACTATAACGGCGCACTTTGTATACCTCTTCTCCTATTCCTATAGAGCTTGGAATTATGCCGATCGGAGAGAAACGCCCTTGGATCTTCTATTAATTCTCGGTCACAATCTAGAGTGGGTTCACGCAAATAAGGATATAGCGTAGACAAGGCATCCTGACAGGGAGAATGCAGATGGACAACCATCAGCAAAATAGAGAATCAGAATAGCACCCTTTTTATCGGATGAGCACCGGCGTATATTTGAGGGATAGTCTAGAAACTGGTTCCCCCTCCGCCTGGGTTCATCCGGCTCTAATTGAGTGGATCAACTTGCGGCCCCCAAGCACTAACCACTACGATCCACGAACGACTGCTTTAGCGTGAGAACAAATTACCAACCAATAAAAAGCAGGCCCAATTAAAAAAGTGAGCGAGTACGCGTGCTGGTTCGTTAGAGGGCAAAGAGCTCCGGATGACTTAGAACTGCCCTGAAAATCCCGAGCTGTGACCCTACGGAATAGTGCCGTGGAGCAATTGATCCACGGCTTCATGAGCTCAAAGGACTCCGCATAACTACCTCAAGAGGGGTTTACATGTCTAGATATGCTCGATTGCCTTTCTCGATTAGTGAAGCTGCTCGATAAAAAAGGATGTAGAATGTATGTATGTATGTATGTACAATGTAAGGTATAACGAACACCTCGCAAATCATGCTAAAGTATTAAGCATAGCTGGAAGGAACCAGAGAATTCGCCCAAACCTCCAGGTAAGTATACCCGCTGGCATCCAGCGTCATGGAATCTGCAGTGTTGGGGTCCGTTCCAAGCTCTGCCTCGGCATCATCGGGGATTCCATCACCATCGGTATCGGTAGGGGCTGTACCCTGGTCGAGGTCGCCTGCACCTCCCATGTCCGCTTCGTCGGAGATCAGTGCGCCATCTTTGCCATAGGATTCAACCTGGGCAATTAACTGGGTGTCGACACTGTCTCTCACTTTTGATGCTCCAGCATCTACTTACTATTAGCATGGTATATCGGTGGGGTATTTGTGACAATGGAACTTACACTTGGTGACATATGTCAAAGCAGCATCCGGGGTTAAGACAGACGCAACAGCTGGATAGTCATACTTTTCGGTGATGAGATCCATCCCGCCATAGTTGGAAGAGGCCACGCCCAGCTCGCTACCGTTGAGAGTGCCGTCCTTGTCAGAGTCATAGTAGTTTGTCTCAACATAGGCATGGAAGTTTTCGTTGCCACGAGTAAAGGCTGTCACTGAGGTAGACGGTCCGCTAATGAAATAGTTCCCGATAACGTTTACATCTGTCTACAGAGTTAGCCCAGCATACCAGACATAGGAATAAAAAGGCATGGAACGCACTCGACTCTCCATCAGAGCCTCCAGCAATATATCCACCACCGCCGCCCCAGTTATAGATCACGTTGTTCGTGAACTCATTGACACCCTTGACCTTAGGGTTGCGCGTTTTGTTGTCAATGTACAGATTGCGGAACAGAGATACACCACCGTCGGTTTGCATCAAGCCGCCACAGGAATGTGTCTCCAGACCTTGTGCGATGATACTGTTCTGAATGGTAACGTTGCTGACATCACCATTGATCGAGAATGTTTCATCACGACCCCAAGAGACAGAGACATGGTCGAAGATCATGTTCTTTCCGTCGGCGATGCCCATGGCGTCTTTTCCTGATGAACCGCCTTTTCCCATGCGACTGTATATTCCAGTTCTCCTCGTTAGCGTATATGTCAGGACAAAAATGAAATATGTTCCTACTTACATCCTGATATACCGCACGATGGCATCGTCAGCATTCGAAAATGACCACCCATTTCCATACACAGTGATTCCATCGCCAGGCGCCGTTTGTCCCAAAATTGTTACTTGTTTGGACACAACAATGCGATCAGTGATTTCAATCACTCCTCCCACAGAGAACACCACGATCCGACCAGGCTGAGATACAGCATCGCGCAACGACCCTTCACCGGAGTCGTTCAAGTTCGACACAATGTACACTTCACCTTGACGACCGCCGACCGCATTTGCGCCAAACCCCTCTGCACCAGGGAAGGCGATCAAGGCCGACGTAGATTGGAGAAGCGACAAGAGACTGATGAAGGAGAGAGTGAGCCGCATCTTGAATAGCGAACAAGGAAAAGCAGACACAAATGTGTTAGAAGGTTATCACTCCATTTCATCCCGGATACCTCGGGTGCATATTTATACCTACAACCGTTCAACGCCGTGTCGCATACAGATTAGCCGCCAAGGAAGCCGTTGATTGATGCATGAATCGGGTGTTTTGGCAGTTCCCATTAAATTAAAAGAGAGTCTGACTCGGTATATGCGATGTTTAAACGATGTTTGGCTGCCGACTATGCAGCCCCTAGTGCTTCTCGGCTGTCACAGGGTCCGACAACCCTACTTTATCCGGTAACAGAACTGTAGGGATCGACAGTGCTCGGATGCTCTTATGTTTCGGATAAGACTCTGTCTGTCAGTCGCACCCAATCAGATTGTGAAGCCCCTGCATGCTGGAATAGCATATTCCACCTATTACGAACTAATTATATATGTTCCAGACATCCGCAAAGTTCCGCATAGCCCCTGAACCCATGAATTATTCTAAGAATTGACTGCATAGTTGACATTAACTCGCAGGAAGCTCATTTAGATGGAGGGCGGACAAATATGGAGTAATGGGAACGATCTATGGACAGTCGCAATTCAGCCACAAGACCTACAAGGGAATTCACAAGTTAGGTCCATTTGATTCGCCCTGATCTTAGTGTTTCCTTGTTCAATTGGCGCAACTATGCTACTGATCTGAAGTAGCCTTGATGCGTTGAACTAAATATCTTAAGCATGGGTGATCTTCGCGCTAGAAGCCTTCAAATCTTTTATCAATCTTCTGTTTGTATGTGATGTAAAAGAACGTAGCCAGGGGCAAAATAACGGACTCAATGTCAATGAAGCGACAGGGCGTGTTCCTACAGCACGATGAGCAGACCGAACGTGGTTAAACTTAGAGGCTGTGCTCCTACCATTGCTCGGAGCGTTTAACAAGACATCGTAGTCCCGATCAATCGGATCTACGCGTTTACAAACAGGACTGTCGTACTAAATTCTCCAAGTTAGATCCACATCCCGGTGCTGTAAGATCGCGGGCCGCTCGATCTACATCACCGGTATGAGGTTTATCTACACAGGTCGATCAAACATAGGAGTAGCATAACCAACAGCTGGCGACGATTTACAAGGAACGATGACACCGGGTTCCTCAAAGCCGTAGCTGCCAAAGATGAGCATATGTCATTCTGAAATGGGCTTTTAAAATCACGGGCCTTTTGCTGTTAAGCCACAATGATCCTGCAATCGAGAAGGAGCAAACGTTAGATTTGCAACGCATTTAATATCATCCCGGGACTTTGCAGCGTTTGCACTTTGCGGTGTTTGCACAACTAGTACGTACATATACAAACCGACAACTTGCAAATGCCATGACTCCCAAGATGTTCAAGTTTACACGATACAAGTGAATGAGGGGGCTCAGACAGGGCGTTGTATCGGAAGAGGGGCAGCACCCGTGGCGCTTGACTGGTACCAATAAGGGCCCGATAAAGCACCTGGCACTGACGGCTAATTTCCACTCCGACAAAGAAAGAAGCCCTAGAAACATGTCACAGAGCTCTGGTGATGACATTTATCGAACACATCATGTTTCATTCCAACATCAGCTTCGGTTCTTGGGATTCTACTTTTTGAATGTATACAATCAATTGACCCTTCGTTTGCATTAACTGCTCAAATACAGAAGGTTCAACTTGAACTAAGATAATTTGAGAATGTCATTCAGTGCAATATGACAGGTCAAAGACAATGTTATGAGGGCTTGTTGAATCTTTGTCACTGCCTAATTATGATCATCCAAAGGATAATGAATAATGAAACACACAAGGAGGAGCTGCTAACAGTATTTCCAACTTCTTTTTGTCTCCATGATAATGGATGACGTTCAGTTGTGATGTATGGAGTAGAATCTAACCCGCTGCAAGCACCACCCAATCGGCAAATCTCTTTACCCCAGTGAATTGTAAGACTATATTCTAAAGTGAGCTTGATAAACAATGGTGATCTTTTCAATACAGTCCATATTTCCTGAGCCATGCTTCGATTTGGAGTTAGCATTTTACATTCACCACCACGAGAACTGATGCAGAGTAACCTGGTTGGCTTGCCTGCCCGCCACGTGCATATATGTCAGAGGGGAAAAGATAGAATTTCAACCTGCCCCAGTTGTATCTTGGATTGGGCTTGGTTAGGCGTTCTAGAACAGGGGCCTGGAATGTGGAGACCTAGCATATTATGTCCCCTTTCGGCAACAAGCAGTGGCCGTGGAATGTAAGCCATCTGATTGAATATATAGACAGCAAGTGAATCACTGCATTCTTCCGATCTGAATTCACTACTAGCTCCCGGAAACCTGTGTGATTCCTAGTATTTATACGCCCTTCATTCGTTCTTTCATTCATTCTTTGCAGACATTCCTTCTGTCCTACTCTGCACCCCCATTCATTCCCTCGACTTTGCTCCCTTGACACTGGTATCTAGTCAATCATTATGCTCTCTGTGAATATACTTCGTGTTTTGAGCTGTCTGCTTCTGTTGTTCCAGGTTGTACAGACAGCAATCATCCCCATTCGCCAGTATGACTCGGAAGAGCAAGACGATGCGACCAATGATGATACCAACTCCCAGGGCAGCAAGCCTAGCCATTCACTAATGGCACCCTCAGCTTCGGCGACAACCACCACACCCCTGCAGTCGGGAGGCAATCTCGCTGGGGGTACAGAAATTATCATTCCTTACTATGTCTACCCAGAGGATGGGGCCTGGACGCCTGTTGAGCAACTGTGTGTCTTTCACCCCTCGCTCCGTTATGACGAACCACAAGAGATGTACTAACCACACACCAAAAGTGCCGCTAACAACCCCAACGTGAAGTTTACTATCATCATTAACCCCAGCAACGGTCCAGGTGGGGATAGACTGCCAGACGCCAACTGGCGCAAGGCAATCCCCAAGCTGAGGGCACACCCCAATATCGCCGTCATCGGCTACGTTGCGACAGGCTACGGAGGCCGAGCTCTGTCTGCTGTTAAGCGCGATATTACCACGTATGCCAACTGGCCGACTCTCAGCGGTGATGCCTCCTTCGCAGTTCACGGCATCTTCCTCGACGAAGCAGCCGCTGAGCTTGATGACAAGAAAGTGGCATTCTACAAGCAACTCACTACTAAAGTCAAGGAGAACAAGGGTTTTGGCCCACACAACAATGTAAGTACCCCTGCCCGTCTCATCTGCAGCCGACAACTAACCAAACTTTCAGGTGGTCATGAACCCTGGAACAGTCCCCGACAACGCCTACCTCGAGATCCCCGACTCGACGGTCATTTTCGAGTCCCCGCACAGAGAGTTCCAAGAGGCGATGGCGGGACATGAATTCGACCGCGTCAAAAACATCGACAAGGCTCGTCTCTCGTCCATGGTCACCTCCGTCCCTACGGGAACCGATCTGGCGGGTCTGGTCGGGCAACTCCGCGAGATTACTGGCCATATTTATCTCAGCAACTCAGCTAGTTATCTCGAGTACCCTCAGGCCTTGGATGTGGCGGCGCGCATTATTGGTTCCAGTTGAATGTGAACATTGCTTGGCCGGGCTTGCAATCTATCTTCTCTGTTGACGGGTGTGTGACTCTGTGCGGGACACCATGTGGGCAACTTACTTTCTGTACGGAAAACTATGTCTATTGTAGAGCAATAGATCTGCTTTTCTTCTTCCGTCCTAAATTGTTTGCTAAACGCCCCAATGTAGGGGGGCGGCCGTAGTTACGTGTCAAAAGGACAGAGGTTCCCTACAGACGATGTTGGCGTAAGTAGATGGTTTGAGACGCCAATGTCGCACACATTCGTATATGTAGGGAGTCACATGGGCGTATATTGGCCGAGATCAAGACCGGCTTCGATGGGCGCACCAATAATTGAAGGGTATCGGGGATAAATCAAGTACGTCCCTGACGTGCCAAGAAGCGCTATCGCTCTTCTAAAGAGATACCGGCATAGCAAGGTCCTTGGAACATTGATCATATCAAGTAGGTCTCTTCGATCATGTCATTGTGTCGACTGCCTTTTTCTTCTTGCTTCACCCTTGGCCTTCTAGATTTCAAATTACATTGACAACCAAAGGGAGGCGAGGTAAAGAGAAGGATAGAAAAGAAAATGCTCGCCACTTGACGCGGTATAATCTCATTTGAGGGCTTTAACAAAGCAGCTCTGTGTCACCCAGCCCTGGAGGGCCGCAGCCAACAGTTGAGCACCGTCAATTTTAGGTGTGACAGACCTTTTGTTCCTGAAATATTGTCGATGAAGAGAAGCTAATTTTATAAGTATGCTGGATACAGTCACTAGGCAATACAGTTTGAACTTGAGACGATAACCTATGCAGTCAGGGCAGAGGGCATCACCTGACTGTCGGCTTGAGTTATTAGAATGAGACAATGAACTTCTGAAGTAGTGTTGCTACCCATTGCTACATTAGCCCATACAAAAAAATCCAATAAAGATGGACTCGATAAGAAGTTCTGTTGATCCATCAAACCCATCCAGAGCTCTAGCGTCGCGCCCTGCCGATGACATGTTCCGTCAACGGCGGAACACTCATTTTAAAGATCGAGATCCGGCAACGTCAATGGACTACATCTGAGTCGCTCAAAGCCACACAATGCGTCGCTTCCCTCAACATGAAAACGTTGAACTTTCGAGTAACCCTGACATGAGATCTGCTGTGAGTGAGCCTTTAGCGGATAATCTTGATGAAAGCCGGGCTGTTTCAGCCTTCCCAGATGGCGGTCGGGAGGCATGGACATGTCTTCTGGGTTCATTTTTGATGATGTTTCCCTCATTTGGTTTTCAAACAGCTGGTAGGAGAAACCCGAGATATCCATTTAATCAGGACTAGCCATTGACACCATGTAGTTGGATCTGTTCAGGACTATATTAGCACTCATCAACTTTCCGAATATAGTGTCAGCGATGTCGGTTGGATCACCGCCGTGCTGGTCTTCCTGACCCTATTTCTGGGTGTGCAAGTCGGCCCGCTATTCGATCGCTACGGACCACGGATCCTGTTAATCTGCGGATCGCTCGGCAGTTTCACGTCTTATATCCTCCTAGCACAGTGCTCCAAGTACTGGCATTTCATGCTATGTCTGGGGGTCCTTGGAGGCGTATCTGCCGCAGTTATCACCACCGTGTCAATCGCGGTTCTGAGCCACTGGTTCTATCGACGACGTGCCCTTGCATCCGGTATCTGCATGGGCGGATCATCGGCGGGGGGCGCCATTATCCCACTACTCCTACGAACCCTGTTCGCCAAGTACGGCTGGACCTGGGCAATCCGGGCGATCGCATTCATAGCACTGGGGTGCTACATTCTGGGCTTCGCACTCGTCAAAGGACGGCTGCCCACCAGCACCCAGAGCCGAACGACAATCGACCCACGGGCGTTCAAATCGCCCCGCTTATGTTTCCTGGCGGTCGGCGTCTTCTCCTTCGAATTCATCATCTTCGGCTGCGCGGCCCTCCTCCCCACGTACGTCCGCTATGCGGGACTCTCGCTGGACGTTCAATTCTACTCTCTCACCGTCCTGAACGCCATGAGCTTCCTCGGGAGAGTCCTCCCCGGCTTCGCCGCCGACCTCGTCGGTCGATTCAACACCCTCCTGACCCTGGTCGTCATGACCCTCATCGTGATGGCGGCTGTGTGGTTACCGTTCGGATCGCGCGACGACGCCATGCTGTATGCGGTGGTGGCTATCTTCGGGTTCGGGTCGGGCGGGTGGCTCTCGCTGGCGCCGGTGTGTGCAGGCCAGCTATGCAAGACGGAAGAATACGGACGGTTCTACGGCACGGTATATTGTGTCGCCGCGTTCGGTGTCTTGCTTACTGTTCCTGTTGGAGGGAAATTGCTTCAGTCGACTACCCCGAAGGTCCTGGTTGGGTTCTACTCGGCCGTATTGTTGACGGGGCTGGTGAGCATTGCGTTATCCCGATGGGCTCTTCTGGATTGGAAGTGGAGGTGGAAGGTTAAGGTGTAGGTGGACTAGATTGATAGATTAGGTAGTTAATCAGAATATAGAAACCTAGGAAATACCAGCTACTGAGCAATCAAATAACTACAGAGTACTTCGGCCAATCAGTTGCTTGTTCCTGAACCAGGATATGATAGGGCTGGAAAGACGTGAGCCGCGCTTACTATGAGGAATTGTTTCGGATATCCGTCGGACAAGGATTATTGGTGAGAATACGCATAAATATCTACTTTCCAAGCAGAAACTCTGCTTCCAAAATAAATGTCTGACTGAATCTTCCTATGCTGGTCAACACCATGGCCGAATTATTCACGGAACTAACGCCATCCAGAGTCAAAGATACGAAGGTAAAGATGGTCATTCTCTGGAGCATAACTAGCTTGTTGTATCCAATATTCACGAGTATAGTAGGGCCTACATTTGATTACCTGCAATACCCCGAATGGTAAGAAGGTGCAGATTCTGCTCGAAGAGCTCAAAGAGGTGTATGGATTGGAGTGGACCACATCCTTGATCGATCTCGACACCGATGAGCAGAAGCAGCCATGGTTTCTCAGGCTCAATCCCAACGGTCAGTACTCTCTTTGAGACCTAGATAGAAACACAGCTTATCTCTGATCGATTGTAGGGAAAATCCCCATTATCATCGACCATTCCAGCGATGAAGCGTTTCCGGTCATGGAGTCGTCTGCGGAACTCCTCTACCTGGTGGAAAAGTTCGATCCCGAGCACCATTTCCACTTTGCGACGGCGACCCACCGATCCCAGCTCTTCCAGTGGTTAATCTTCTGGAATGCGTCGGGTCAGCCACAGCAAGCGGGATTGAATCACTTCTCACGATTTGCTCCAGTGCAAGTTCCTTGTAAGCCCCTCTCTTATTTTCCCATTGGGAGCATCATCCCAATGCAATGCGTACGCGGGGAACTAAAACAACAGTTTAAACATAGATGCCGTTCAACGATTCAAGACCGAAACCCTTCGAATCTACAATGTGCTAGAACTGCACCTGTCTGGCAGCCTGGCCGGTGGTGAAGCCCGGGAGTACTTGGTGGGCGCGGGTCGAGGCACGTACAGTATTGCCGATATCAATGCGTACCCCTGGGTGCGGGGCTGGAAGAAAAGTACGATTACCGAGGAGGAGATGGACAGATTCCCGCAGCTGAAGAAGTGGATCGAGCGAATTGAGGCCAGACCGGCGGTGCTGAGGGGTATCGGGGAACAATATGATGAAGAGGTGCATCCTGAGCTACTGCTCAGCACGAACTAGCAGGATATACTATCCCGGCCTCGGCGGAAGGGCTGAAGTATCCCCTTGTAAGTCTAATGACTATAGACACAAAATCTATAAACAGCGATAACTTACATTTACTGGTAACAACAATAAGAATCTCTCCGATATAGCGTCTATTACTATAGAGATAACTGAAATAAATAGATTGGTACTATATTTCTCAGGTATCAGTCAGGACAGTAATAATTATATCACAGCTCCGGACGAAAGAATGTGGTTCACTTTGGAACTGTCCTAAGCTAGTCTATTTTACTTAGATGACCCGTCATTGAGTCAAGCTGGTCATGGCCACACTCTCCATCAACGGCAAAACCTGGAACGGAGCTAGAAGTCAATTGCAACCTTCAAAGCACCTTCCTGAGACGCCATTTGGAAGCTGTGATATGCCTTGTGGACCTCCGAAAAGGGATAGTCTATATCCAGGTTTAGTTAGAAGAGAGCAAATCCTGATCATATGTGAGAACTTAGGATTTACCACTTACGGTGAGTAAATAGACTAGAAGGTTTTATATGGCCGGATTGATACAGTCGCAGGAGGGTTGGGATGCTAACGCCGTTGAGCAACTGCATCTTGATGCCTACAGAGCATACGGTTAGTTGGTACTCCGGATCCAGAAGGCCAGTCTCCTAGATAATATCACGAATGATTATAATCTGGAAACAACGACTTACTGATATTGCGATCCCAAAGTTTGTGCATGTCCAAATTAACAGGGTGTCCATGAACACCAACATTAGCGATTGAACCCCCTGGTGCGACTAATTTCTGACACATTTCGAAGGTCTTGGGGATCCCGACGGCTTCAATCACACAGTCAAAGCCTTGCCCTTCCGTGAGTGTGTTCAGTGTGTCCATCGCATCCGGGTTTCCTGGGTTAACAGCATGATCAGCGCCGAGTCTCTTCGCATGTTCTAACCTGGTATCGTCCAAGTCGATCATTACGATCCAAGAAGGCGTGTATAATCTAGCAGTGAGCATAGCAGCCAAACCAACAGGACCCGCCCCGATAATCGCAACAGTACTGCCCGGTTGCACATGAGCGCTCACTGTTCCGCATTCCAGTCCTGTCGGCAGTGCATCTGAGATAGCAGCACAGGCCCTAAGGTCAAGGCCATCTGGAATCTTGTACAAGGAAGACGTTGCGTGCGGAATGCGCACATATTCTGCCTGGGTTCCATCGATCTTGTTTCCCAATTGCCAGCCGCCAGTTACACAATGTGCTTCCAGTCCCTTGCGACAAGATGTACAAACTTTGCACGCCGTGATAGCGGCAATTACGACATTGTCGCCGACCGAAAGGTCAGTGATCGCAGATCCAACGGATACAACTGTACCCACGCCTTCATGGCCCAGGACTCGATCGTATGGAATTACTGGCACGTCGCCTTTCAGGATGTGTAGGTCTGTGCCGCAGATTGTGCTGTGGAGCATCTTGACAATTGCATCTGTGGGAGATTGTATGACTGGCCTTGGCCGATCCAAGACTTCGAGCTTGTTGGGTCCTGTATAGACCAGGGCTCTCATTGTCGGTCCATTGTCGAGCTTTCTGCTTGTTAGCTACGTTCATGTCAGGATATAGACGTGATGGGGATATCTCGGAGATGCTCCGATATGGGAAACTCACACCAGGTTGACTGCTGGCGATGCTGGCATCGGCAGTCTGAGAAGCTACATCAACGGGCATTTCGAAACGAGTATATTGTGGCACCTTTGTAGTACTCTATTCCGGCGTCGTTATCAGGTCGAGTACTGAGAGTGTGCCATGAGCTGAAGTAGACTACATCTCGAAGAAATATGGCCGATGTGGTGCGGGGTAGAGCACAGGAAAGAGGGGAAGACACGTTTAACAGTGCCAATATAAACCAGCAATAGCCAAGGTTCGATTCCAACACTCTTCTTTAGATTCCAGGCGAGCAAATAGGGAGCGTCATCATGGCGGGGCTAGGGATGTACACGTCGGAGAACTCTCCGTGAAGGCACCCAGACGATCCTTTCCAAAGCACTAGATGTCTGCAGTAGTCAATCCTACAGTAAAGCTGCATGCATCAGCTGATTTACCTAGGAATAAAATGGATAAACAGCGTAGGTCATAATCACAGGATCAGTAGAGCATATCATGGAGCTAGCCAGAGGCAAGGTGGTGAAAGCTTAACCACCTACACTCGTCCATATTGATTGCATCGAGTCAAGCCTGGTAGACTGTCGCTCAGGAACACTTTTGGACAACTGGATCCCAGATGTGCACTCAATGTTTAGGCCAGGCAGCAACATGTCTGCCTAACAAACAGGGATCAATGCCAAGAGGTGACATCCAGACCCAGCATAACCACCGGATTATAGAGAATCAGGAGTCAAATTGACCAGCAACAACAGCCTACATCCAATAGTTCAAAAAGGCCGGCCTCTGACTCCGCCGTGCTTCCGCCTCGTGGCCAGTCTTCGCAGCCATCCCCATCGGATTTGGCATCATGCATTGAGCTTCTTCGAATTTGAGGTACCGACTTCGCCCGCAGAACGGGACCTGGTGAACAGCTTGATGGCGGTCTACAGTGCGAGAGATGTTTTCATGGGAGTGGCTTTGTTTTCCGCTCTTTTCATCAGTCATCCCAAGTCTGTCGGCTGGATCATGATTGTGACCAGCACGGTTGCGTATGTGGATGGGTTTGTCTGCTGGACACATAGGAAGCGGTAGTGGAACCATTGGGGGTACGTGCCCATTTTTACCGTGGTAGTGACGCTGCTTTGGGTCTTTTTGATACAAGGTAGATTCTGGTGATATTGGTATGGAGGGATTCTCACTTGATCCTAAATGGGATATGACTGAGATATGTAATATTATCTGCGATAGCCAATACTATTAGATCTTAATACACTTCAGCCCCTATGCCGTTGGAGTATCTCTCATATCAACAACCGTCAGAGAAGCACAAGGAAATCTGAACAATCTCCCCAATCAATCTACCTCCTAGACCCCTTTAATACAGTGCATGTGGGATAATTAACAAATCGATATGCCTAGCAGACGCATCGCCTAATTGCGGTCGCTTGCGAAGAAATCCAAGAGACAGATTTGTAAATTTCAGAGTCTTTGATCGACTCGTTTGCAAAGCTGTGCGATTCTTCTAGCAACCTGGTGACCAGATACGCTCCCGACTTCACTCAATGAGGTAGTCCTTGATTTACCAAGTTCTGTATGACATCACCTTCTGGTCCGGAGTATCCACGAGCCTGCTTATAATCCCAGATCAAAAGTCGAATGAGACCCAACCGCGGCCAGAAATCAAGGCAACACTCTTCACTACACAGGTCTTCAGGAGGAATTGTCGACTTCACCCTTTCAGCATGTTGCTGTACAACAGGGGTTTCAGGAAATAGGGGCACATCCACATGATGAAGCAAATGACAAGATGTAAGCTCCCTCACGAGCTCCTGGGCATGCTCTTCCGCCGCGTCAACATGACATCTCATGGGGTAAAGGCCCAAACATCTGATGGTGCTCCTGGCATTGCGCACCGTGGAGGACAGGGCGTCCAGTGAGATGACAATCTGGTTATAACAATATAGTATCAAGTGTTCCAACGGAGCTCTGGGGTGAACAATACCAGTAGGCCCCTCGAAGGATGGTGAGCAGTTTCGCCACTCTACCGATCGAAGACTCTCACCCGACTGCAAGATGCGTCGCATTTCTGGACTGTTTGGACACCCTGCGCATCCCCAGATAGTGAGGTACTTGAGACCGGCGATGATAGGGGCCACTGCGTGATGAGAGACTTCGCGCAGCATCAGATTGTCGGGTTCAAAAAGCTCCAACCTCTCAAGTCTTGGGCGCACATAGTCCCGGGAGGCTTTCGCAACAGTGCCTATCACTTCTACTCCCTCACTTGGGTCAGAGGACTTGAGGAAAGTGTCACCATGAACTCGCATGACCCGTATGTATCGACTGGCTCCAGACTGGGCTAGTTCCAGTAATGCCTGAATATCATCCCGTTTCACGAGATCGGAATCGCTCCGTTTTTTCTGGAATAGGCGGACTGCCTGGAATAGAATACGCGTCGCGCTGTAGCAAAACGGCCTGCTAACTACGCGGAGGCTTTTGAGGAATTGGCTTGATCCATCTCCATGGCTGGCGAAGACGGCGTTCTAGACTTCAATACTAGTCTCCGTAGTGTCTACTGGTGTTTTAATCATACCTGGTCGATTATTTCCTGCGGAAGGGAGGCTATTGTTATCATGTTGTGGGGCGTGTTGACTGGGAGAGTGTGTTGAACAACTTAATGGGAGTGTCAGGCTACAATTAGTGGCAGATACGTAGGCTTGTACGTGGGAATCGTTGCATCAATATTATCTCTGTGTGGAATGAGTCAGGGGCAATGATGCAGTAGTGATGAGATAGGCCATGATTATCATTTGTCCCCAAACTCTGTATGCTCACTCCTTACAGTTTGGCCCTACCCCTTTTGGCCCTGCTCTTTGAATATCATGAGTCGTAGGTTTAGATGCCCTACAAGTGGAAGAACCCCAGATTATCATTGAGCATGGCGCTTGGTTGTATACTGGGTAAACACTCGTCATCTGCAGATGCTGAGAATTTGGAGATAGGTCAATCTTAATACATCAGAACACTCCACGAGGTACTGGCAGGGAGCAATGGGTGATAAATCGATCCTAAAGCACCCAAAGGGATGCTGGTGGTAATGCTGGCCAACACCAAGAATCGTTAGTAAATAAAGTTGGATATGAACCCACTCCGAGGCTTACAAAGCGGTAAACTGTGTGATAAACAAGTGAGAAAAGCCAGGTGATTGATTGATATTCACTACTCGGACGAATCCCCTAACCTGCTCAACCCCCGCTTCCCGTCCACTATACGCCCTCTTTGTTTTGCCTTTCTTCTTTCTCACTTGCTCTCCTTGTCTGTCCTTCTTCTTCTTCTCTCCTGGCTACATGGTGACAGGTTACAGCTTATCACATTCACACTCCAGTTGTCGCCTCCTTGCCTGTCGAGTAAATACGACTTTTAGGACCTTTTCAGTACGGCCTCACATCCTAGAGATCATCTTTGCAAATCTCCACAAAAGTACCCCAGTTCTCCCATTTGAGACTTGATATCATCGAGGTTAGTAGCCCAGAACTCACAAGTATTCCCTTCTGCTCATAATCTATAATCGAACAGACATTACCCAACGATGTCATCTACGTCCAACAACGAACCGGTTCCATGCGACGACGTCATGGTCACTCCTCAGAGTGATCTGACCGTGGAGGTCATCGAGTACGACGAGGACTATGGCCATAAGGTACCATCAAGAACCGGCTTGCTGCATATCAGCAAGGATACATTAGCGAGTTCAAGCAGTTACTTCCAAGCCATGTTAGGAAGGAGCTGGTCAGAGTCGAAAAGCGACAAGATCGTCTTGCACAATGAGACCGTGAGAAGCATGGCGATATGGTTTCGGCTCTTTCACTACACCTTGAATATCGTCAAACTGGACGATATCACAGTCGCGGATATATGGCATGTTATACTGGCCAGTGATAAGTACGAGTTTGACCGACAACAGCTGCTGTTGTGGTTTGTCACATGGTACCGCAATGCAACGGCCGTAGGTTTATATCGCAATAACCTTGCTAGAAAGTTGATGCTCCCTTGCTATGCATTTGACTACGCAGAAGGGTTCCAGACCCTGACAAAAAGCCTCGTGTATGAGGAGATCGGCCATATCACGGAGATTAGTCCGATCGACAGCGTGAAGTTACATCTCCCACCACGAATTATCCATAAGATTTCGTCCCTGGACGCGTACCCACTACATGTACAGCACATACTAACAAGCTTGGCGCATCTATAGAGCAGTTGAATGCCGCTAGAGGACGCCTCCGCAACATCTTGGACCGGGAGTTATTTGTCAAGATCAATTTGTTGATTGATCATGGCTCATGTCGCTGTAAGGAGGAAACAGTTTTCAATTACCTCAGGGAATTGGGCAGAATCGATGTTCAGCCACTGGTAGAGCGGTCATTTTCCCGGGCCAGTGTTCAATGCTACCTCGATCGACTGAGACAGTTCGACCAAGAACGCATGTTGAGAAGAATTTCCGGAGATCGCTGTCTGCGTTGCTGTTTCGATTGGAAAGAGGGTGTGGAAAGGGCAATCCAAGTGACAACTGAGTATTTTGATGGACTCTGTCTTGATTGTATGAAAATCACAGTTAGGGACGATGAGGATTACTGGGATCACGCTCGCTTTAGAGAGCGATATGACCGGAATTGCCGCATCACTCATGGGGAGCCGACGTGTTATTTCAGCTTCATGCGCGCGTGAGAAAAGGGGACTAGTTGCACGTTAGCTTGAGGATTGAAAAGCGGCAATTGCCATGAGGCCTCATGTTGAATGGTTGGAGGACTGATGTTTGCCAGTGTGCCAAGGATGAAACCAGGGTAGCTATTACATTGTGTTGTGTTAACCCTGGAACAACTACCCAGCTTTCTGTCTGACTGGCATGGGAAACGCGTTGCTGAAGCGATGTAACCACCATTTTTCAGTCCGAAAGTCATTAATCCCATCATTGAACTGGGCAGGCACTCTGATTGTTGAATTCGTAGGGCGATAGCGTGTGGGACTGGCTCGCTAGGTATTTAACATTGTTACCTACCCGCCTATCTACCAGCAATATGCTTGAATAACATAGGAGAGGTGCGTTGCATTGGCAAGTGAAGTATGGGTACTGGTTGCTTATATTATCTTGAGGAGTCTCGTAATTGAATGATTCTGATAGGGCATTTCCTGGTAAGCATTATGGCCATTTTCGAGCGGCAGAGCAGGCCTTGAGAGACAACCGAAGGTAAAGTTATACCACAGCCAGGAAGTCATGCAGTCTAGTCATATGCACGAGGGCAGGGTTTAATGATATGACACAAGACAAGACGCTATACCCCCACATAGATACCCACCTATAAACGATTACACCCGATTCCCCTGCGAGTCCAACCCTTGTGAACGGGGCGGATAAGGCATCGGAAGCAACCACCGGAATGAGTGGGCTGACCGGACTGGCCCGCCTGATTGTAGCGAAGACGAGCTGCCTTTTGTAGATGGGAGTTGCGTCGACAAGCTGCACCCACCGACTTGAGGGATGAGTCGGCACCTGGTGCAAGCTTCGCCTGGGCGGCACACTTGTGCTGCGCCCTCCTTTGAATAGACCCAACACTCTTGAGCGTTAGTCCTGCACCTCTCACAGCGCGCGTCACCGAATCGCTGCTTCCCAAGCTCAGTTTCCATAATTCGGCCGATATGTCCAAAGCTGCGGCGTTTGTCCTTAGGAAGACGCTCTAGCTCGAACGAGGTGCGATACCACCATTTGCCGACTATAGTGGGCGTATAAATTGTTCTATCTTTGCCTTGGTTCCTCCAGTTCCAAGACAGGCGGGGCTGGTCAGCAATCTGTGATCGGGTGAATTCGTCATGGGAGGTAAAAGAAGAAGAGACGGCGGGTGCAGCTACTGTGGGAGTCCCAAACAGATCGGGACTTGGTCTAAGCTGCCGATCAGCATTTGGCTCTCTTACTTGATAGCTCTCTACCTACTGAGGAGAAGGAGGAGGGCTTGTGTCGGCCACTGGGTATCTCTCCTCCTGCATGGCTATGCTGGCGAGAAGATCATTGTGAAGAATCCGTTCGTGGTCCTCAAGTTCATCCGTTCCATTCGGCCACGAACAATTCATTGTCCTCATGGCCATCCGAATCACCTTGGGTGGATGGAGCATCAGGCACGAACAACCCATTGTCCTCATTATTCGGCTCGGCCTGAACGGATGGAGCATTACGAAGAATCGGCTCGTCCTCCGGATCGGCTATCACTGACGGAGCATCCTGCAGGACCGCTTTATGGTCCTCATGTTCATCTAGATCAGAGTTCGAAGATGGTATAGTGGGAAGTCTCGACAGGAGCTCTGCGGCATTCATGAGTAGGGCCATTCTAAGTATTTTTCAATGTGGAGAGACCGGCGGGAGGCTACCGCGATTGCCTTGACTCTTACCCCTCGGCTACAGGACTATCAACCACCAGGCAAAGCGGCGAAGAGTAGAAAAAATAATTGATGACCGCGCCCTGGCAACGAAATATGCATGTGATGGGTGCTTCATGAACTATATGGTTTAGGCTATTGAATTATGGCTACAACATCTTCTCAGGAGTTTCCACAAGTTATAAAAATTGCCCTACCGCCTTCCACTTCAGGACCCGTATTTTGAAGCTTTTCAACTCTATCGTGTTGTTCTGCCAGACACGCCAGGCTGATCGCTTCTCATTTGTCCAGATCATCCACCGCCCTTGGGAAAGAAACCTTCTCACGTGCGTGGTGCAGTCTAACCTCAATAGGAATAGCGATATCTTCTACCAAGGTTCCCTCCCTCGATGGCCTCAGGCACCGTGCCGTGATCGACATCTGCAGGTTGGATGGTTTGAGTTCCCTCATTGGATCATCACGTTGCACTATGGCGAGAGTCCGCCAAGCAACTCCACTCCCACGGAGTCCGATGGAGAACGCAATGGCCCCAAGGCCTGATGGCATGTCGGTGAGAGGGGTAAGCCATCGCATTGCCGCATTGCCGGCAAACAGCGGCTAAATTGGCTGGCTTATATGCAGGAGAGGTTCCCCAAGGATCTTCATGCGCGAGTTCCCAACTTTCCTCAGGATCCCTGACAGCATTAAACTGTGACGATGCTGAAATTCCTACTGTCAGTGACCTCTCTCCTTGCCTCGGCGCAGGCATTCCAGTATACGCCATTGCAATTGGCATATCCTGAGCTGCGCGCAAAGCAACAACAACAATTGACCCCGGATTCGGCAGTGAAATCGCAATTGGCAGCGCCTGAGTACCCTGCGTACCATCTTTCGGTGCCTGTTGATCATTTCCATAATGACTCGCGCTATGCGCCGCACAGCAACGACCATTTCGACTTGCGGTACTGGTTTGACGCTCAACACTACAAGGAAGGAGGTCCAGTGTTTGTGATCGCCGCCGGAGAAACCGATGCGACCGCCCGATTCCCTTTCTTATCGCAGGGCATCGTCACCGAACTGGCGGCTGCATATCACGGCATTGGAGTTATTCTAGAGCATCGTTACTACGGCGAAAGTTTCCCAGTAGAAAATCTGACAACAGAGAACATTCGATTTCTCTCAACGGACCAGGCGTTGGCCGATTATGCATACTTCGCTTCCAACGTCGTCTTTCCCGGGCTAGAGCATGTAAATCTCACCGCTAAAACGACACCCTGGATCGCCTATGGTGGATCGTATGCCGGCGCCTTTGTCGCCTTCCTGCGCAAGCTCTACCCCGACGTCTACTGGGGTGCTGTTTCTTCCTCAGGTGTCACCGAAGCCATCATAGATTTCTGGCAATACTACGAGCCGATCCGCAAATTTGGCCCGTCCGATTGCATCTGGGCGACCCAAACCTTCATCGACGTCGTAGACCGCATCCTAATAGACCATGCCGACAATAAAACGCTAGGCCAGCAGCTGAAATCCTCGGTGGGAGTCAGCCCCGACAAGGATGATGTCTCCTTCGTTTCGCTGCTTTCATATGGTCTCGATAGTTTCCAATCACGCAACTGGGATTCCAACATCGGTAGCTCTTTCTTCCGAACCTACTGCGATAACATTACCAGCGTCGACTTGCTGTACCCCGACACTGAAACCGTTAAACCCACTGTCCAGGAGCTTATCGATGTGGCCGGATACGATTCATCCAACTCCAGCTTCGTGAACGGTTTCTTGAACCACATTGGCTTTCTCAACCAGTCCCTTTCCAGCGATGTGAATTCAGCCGAAGCTGAGGATTCCGACGCATCCGACCCTAGGTCGCTCCCCAAAAGCGACGGTATCAGTTGGGAATATCAGGTTTGCACCGAATGGGGCTACTTCATGTCTGGTGCATCCGTACCGAAGGATATCATGCCTCTGATCTCGCGCGTTTTGGATGTTGCCAGCGTATCAACCTTCTGTGAACAGCTATATGGGATCGCCTCTCCGCCGAACGTCACGAATATCAACAAACACGGCGGATTCAACTTCTCTTACCCGCGAGTGGCCATCATCGATGGTCTGGCGGACCCCTGGCGTGATGCGACACCGCACGCCGATGGCACGCAGGAGAGGGAATCCACCGATGACGAGCCATTCATCTTGATCGACGTCCCGGCTGAGGATGTATGGGACGGTATCCGGGGTGCTGTACACCACTGGGATCAGAATGGCCTTTCCAGGAACGATGAGGATAAGGGCCAAGAGCCCCCAGCCGCTATTGTGGAGGTGCAGAAAGAGGTTCTGCGGTTTGTTGGCGTATGGCTGAAGCAGTGGAAGCAGCGGTCTCGGGGTTCCTCTCGACTGGTTAAGGGAATTAGAGGCGGCCCTGGGCGTAGCCAAGTGCCACTCTAAGCGATGGTATACAATGTCTCTTGTAAATGTCAGCTAAGAAGCTGCTCGCTATGTGAATATATACTACTGCCTCCACCCTCGTTTAACTTTCTGTATACAAATGATTACGTATTTAATCCCAAGTCTAGAACCACACTCCACCGTGGACATTTAAGTACTATATTCCCTCTAAGAAAACAAGTTTCAGTATTTCTCGAAATAGCAAGTTATTTGGAACTGGACATTGCCCAGAATTGGCGATCCACCTAAGGAATATGGTGAAGAGCAACAGCTGGATTAATAAAAAGTTTGAACAGTCATGGAAACTATATACACACAATTGCATTTCACCCCAGACCATCAGATTCTAGCAACTGTACACGATAACTCTTAGACCCTCCTGTGGCATTTAGCTTCGACATCAACATTAGAGATCAATGATAAGTAGTCCAAGATACTCTAGGAGATCTTTCTCTGCCGAAAGTACATGTCTGCAAGATCTGTGTTATCGAAGTATATAGACATCTGAAAAATTCCACGCGTGAATCTATTGTCTCCTACAGGCCGCGCTAGGATAATGAACTATTCTCATACAGCATTTGAAAGAGTATTGTCCCTCAAATCCAAACTCTGTCCCGGAAGAGCAAAAGTATAGAACCGATAAAAGCAAAGGTGTCCGCGCGTTAATATACAAGCCAACATAGATAGATTTATCTATCGTCTTGGAATACTACTCAATATATGAATATATCAAGTAGTATATAGAGGTTTATTTGGCTTTTTAGAATACCATCAATATAATATATCACCACGGGTCCGCGGGATTCTCCGGCTGACACGAATAACTTCTGGATGCTGCAATCGGTCCCAAACGTAACTTCATTCTAAGCAATGAATATACTGTAGAGATCCATGGCAGGCACCACGTAGTCAGCCAGTCTTTGTGATTTTGTCATATTGCGGCCGTGTTAAATTTTTGCCATCCCATCACCTTTTCCCAAATCCCGTCCACCAGCGAGGGTCTGAAAGTCATTGCGGTGCAATGAAAGCATAATGCTGAGGTAGAACAGGGATAATGATTATAGAACACGGTTAAGAGAGCATTGAGCCGCAACGTCTAGGTTAGCCAGGTCACTCTATCAGAGGACTTTATTAGTCCAATTCCCAGAAACTTCAAGCAACAGACATGATAGCATACCTGGTTGACATCATCTTTTGCACAACAGTAAACGTCCTTAGAAGCGCAATTTTCATCGACCGCCCCAGGTGAGACGTTGCCCAAAGAGATGAGGCCACCATTGCCTTGTTCCTGACAGACAACAGTGTCTTTACTAGCGCAGATGCAGTCATCGCAGGGTCCGTTGGGGCTGGCCAGAACGGCGGCAGCAAAAGTGAAAAGTACCACGGAAGCCTTCATGATGACGGGAAGATATCGAAAGGTAGATTGAAGGACAGAAGGAAACCTGACAAGATGGGAGATGGACTCGTTTTGACTGGGATAGAGGTAGAGCAAGAAGTTGACTATAGCTGGATACGAGAACTTATTGCCAGAAAGGCGGGAAGAAAAGTACAACCTAGTGGAATTTTTAGATTTAGGAGACGCCAGGTGCTAGGTCAACAGAGGAGTGCGGTCCGACATTTTATAGCGACGAAGGCGCTCTTTAACTACAACCCAAAGCGAGTCAATTTGCGGTGAACGCTATGTAAGGAGCAGGGGGGGATCCAATATCTCTGGAATGTCCATACATATGACACGTTGAATTTGTTCTTCTAAAAGTCTATCTTACTCTTCAAGCTTAATGGTACGATTCATATTCCATAGTTGACAAGGACTTGTGAGCGGAGGATCTAGTGGGGAGTGATCTGCCCGATCGACACTATTTCGTGAAATAAGCGGTGGGCAATCCAAGTCCACACGAAAGCAAAGCAAAATGGATCAATTCACAGTGGCTAGTTATAATCTTTCGCTGTATTTCGAATGTTCAGTGGCGGACTCAATTGAGCTTAACGGACAATAAGTGGAAACTTGAATGTCGTCAGAAGTTGATCCTGGGTGCCAGCGGTGAGACAGATATCAAGAATCTCTCCTCCTGCAAGCTCGTGGACCCAATATATATAATTAGATAACCATTTAATCAACAACCCCATGGAAATTTTCAATATTATCCTAAAATTGTAGTAAGACTACCCGAGCGACTCAGTGGTGGTTTAGTTTCATTCACCCACCCTCTTTTGACGAAATGCCTGTTTCTTGGCTGGATCATACTGGTTGGCGCATGGAGCAGCTGCAGCCATCTCCCTGAGATTCGGCCATAGAATCCTTACGTTCCCCAGGGACCCATTCTCCCCTATTCTAGGTGAACTGAAATACTGTGATATCGGGACAATACAAAAGCTCAGATCTTGTCTCGCGTCTCGACTCTGATCAAACTCTAAGCAATTCAGAAGGTATGACTACTTCGAGTTTTGATGAGCCCAAGGGGCTTAATCAATATTGATCTTATACTTAATCCTTACTGAACTCCCTACCACCCGATTGTATGCTCTATATGTAGATAGGACAATTGCCGGGGAAATATAATACCTCTTAAGTACACATTTCGTATCTCTCCTCTGTACTTAACCTCTACTAGTCCTCTTTGGTCTATTCAGTGGGTTTATATCTTTATTATTGCTCTTGTTAGTATTGCTTCGTTATTTATATCACACCGTTGATATTCAGGTTTTCTTCGTCAGCCCTTGAGCTAGATACAATGCGCAGTACATTGACTTCGCGCATAGTACTTGCCTTTATTTCTAACCCCACCTATACCTAGATCCTGCGAATACTCCCCTAAATACTCAAACACCTTGCCTCCGAGTCTAACAAATATCAGGGTTACTATACCCCCTCAGCATCCTTCCTGCCGTCAGCCAGACGGCGATATAACAAAGTTGAGTGTAGATGATTCTATTAGAGCCAAGCTGCAGCATACCCCCAATTCCCTTCTAGATATTGAACTACTGCACTGGTAGGATTCTGAGACAAGTCCTGCTGCCTCGATATATTCTGAAAACTGTAGCCGAGTCGACTCGTAACTCCTACACCAGTGTAGGTATTCTGCTATCCCACCAGACGTACTCCGATAGTTAAACAAATTAATCCTGACCGCCCTACCAGACCAAGATGTACTCATCCTCTTCTGGGGAATTTATTTTAAAGGTTTTACTGACCTCTCATTACTATCGGTTATGGTAAAGACTTGCTTTAGTGATGATCCATTTACCAGGCCGTTAAAGGCTAAGACACTGCAATGTTTGAGAGACTGGTGGATTTAGTGCTCCGTCCAGGGATCCAGGGTGATATCGATTAAAGCTGCATTTCTTACGACTTTCACAGAATAATAATATAGATACACCACCAGTAGTTCAGAGGTATCCCCAGCTTGACCTGTGATACTAATGACGAGTGGCATTTCACTCACGCCGCTTGGCGGTCTAAGGCAGTCAAGAAAAGCTCTATGAGCTGTTTCCCAGATGAAACTTAGCAGTGGAGTTTGGAAAGCTGGAAAAGCTGGCGAGGGAAGAGGTGACTCAAAGGGGACACGTACCTTGCCTGTATATTTAGTTTCACTTCCAAGCTTTTCAAATTCGGCTTGCCATTTATCCAGGCTATCCATGGAGCAGTGCATGATATCATTGATTGATTTATCACTCTCCAAATGACGGAGGAACTCACGTCCTTTCTTGCTGTTTCCCACTCTAGAAAAGAGGAACATTGCTGCTCTTTCACCGTAGGATTGCAGAACAGGCGATCCTTTGCATTTTTGAATTGTCGATTTAATTGTTTCACCGTCCTTACGTGAAGAGGAATTCAAATGTTAGTTAGCATGTAATTTAAGAAGGAAAATCACCAACATAGGGCCCAAACGCCTACCTCTCCGTCTGAGATAATAACGGTGATCACTGGCCGTTTCAGGTTGCCTGCTTTGGCCTTTCTAATGATCATAGGATGTACGATCTTTTTGTTGACAACCTCACCTAATCCCGAACGGCCTATGAGCCTTTGAAAGTTGAGGAATCTGACTGTTTGAAACATGTTTTCAACTTGATTGCTGGTAGTTATGTTCTCGAAAAGGTCCCTCCCGCCTGTGTTCGGATAGAGGAGCTGGATTGTTATTCCCTTTGGTACGAGAAGCGAGGAAATTGTAACAAGACGTAGGAGTATATCCTTTAGGGCACGCTGGTGCTTCAACATAGACAAACTATTATCTAGGACAAACCTTAGTATCGCAGGAAGAATGTTGGTGAGGTTGAACTTTCAAGACTCACCGCAAACAATGACCAGATCGAATAATGCAAGCTCAACCACTTCAAGTTCCCGGCTAGCAGGTACATCATACTTTTGTGTGATATGATGCATCTCAGTAGCTGCCTTTTGCACAAGCTCCTTTATGAACTGATCATCAGGAGAGAAAAAGCTGGAATAGTTGTTGGTCACAAAGGTTTGGTACTGGACAGCTGTCTCTGCTATCTTGATAATCTGGTCAGAGCAGAGTATCCGATAATACGTAGTACACGTCGCCCTACCTGGGAATGTTGTAGATGAATATATTGAGAGGCGTTGGTGTTGGTTGTGATATTTCCACAGTTCCGATTTGTTATGTTGCCGCAATTCTCATGCACAGTATTTCCACAGTTCTGATTTGTTGCGTTGCCCCAATTCAGGTTGGGTGGGCTCTTGTCTGTCAATAAATCATTAAGCTGTTCCAGATGAGGCCTGTGACTTCTGCAGCGTATCTGTGAGGCCTTCACACGCCGTCTGCATCGGCCACCATGTCTTGATATTCCTTTACAACGTCGGCTGGAAGAGCTTCGAGATTTCTTCACATGTGAACTCATCGTAGGGATTGATAGGATACAGTGACAACGACGATGCGCGTGTCAGATGGCTTTGGAACAAGTTCCACTTCCTCGTAGAATGAATGAAGATATGATATTAATATGCAAAGGGGTATCGAAATTTGAAATGGACGCTTCCTACAACCAACTGAGCCTGAACATGTAATGCACCAGTAAGATATTATCCCGAAGTAGAGACACAGCTGCAAGTATGCTTCACTGAATGACTGGTGGCGGCACCGGCGGATATCGGGTTACATTGCATTTAATCTATTAGCCGCAAGCCACCAAAGCCACTCTGTGATCTGGCATTAAATAGATTCCATTCCGAAAAAGGACTGTACGATGCCGATCTTTATTTACTGATACACTCATACAGATGGGCGGTGCCCAGTTTTTGTGGCCTCGAAATTCAACCTAGAGCCTTGTGCTACAAATCCTACAAATGTAGTACTGAGAATAGAAACAAGCTAATAGGTTATTCAATGATCTTCTTACTCCCGAAATAGTTCCCGCACTATTCCGTACCGACGTATTGTTGAAATATTACGATACAAAAGTCGCAAGGCTGAAGCTTCCATACTAATCAATCACTCAACCCTCATTCCCCCTTTCCCCTCCCTCTGATCTGCAACACGCAGCTTAGCCCACCATCATCCTAACCATGGAAGGTGAGCATACTCACACGATAATATCCAGTTACATTCAAAGGTCGATCGTGCCGCCTTTGCCACTTTTCACGTTGCCCCATCTCTGGCCATGGAAAAGGCCGCTGGTGTGTGCACCGTGGTCGTATTGACGCGCCTCACCTCCATTGACTGAAATATCACCGGTTTCGGCGGTGGTGTACTCTCTGCTGATTGAAACCTTGCCTCCATCTCCACTCTCAGTGTTGGACTGCACCGCGCTCCTGGAGTTGAAAACACCCTTCGATGATGCCTGGCTTCCAAAGGCATTTGCACCATTGGCTGAAAGGTTGCCGAATTTGCGGGACGTGGGCTGAGACATGGCCTTCAGATAACAAAAGACAAATTTGAAAGTTTAAGATGAAAAATGCGTCTGATGATTGGGAACGGATCTCGCTTCAGTGGATGGATTTAGTTCGGCTGTTCTAGTGAAGAGAATTAGGTTGATGGAGATCGGCCCTTATATATTACTACTTTGCCTAGCGATGGACGAGGCCCAATGTAGGGCTGTGTCCAGTGACGTGGAGTGAGGAGAGTCGATGGCAGTGCCTGGGTAGCGATGGGACTGCTTCGGTGGTACGCAACAATAGCATCACCTTGAACTCGCATGAGTCCGGAGTGGTTGCCTTCAAGCAGCAACTCTCGACATGCCATCTCTAACTAGTCCTTGAATTGGACGTTGAAGGCCTTCTTGCGCTGATGCAGGTGATAGACCACCCCGCACCCGTGGCCAGATCTCGATTACCACTGTATAATGTAAGCTCATATTTGTTCGTAGCCTCACATTTTGCATGTAGTCACGCTGCATGATGCCTTACCGAGGGACGCAGGGCAGCCAGTCTCACGGTCACTACACATCTTTCACCCTTGCAAAAATATGTTTATTGTTTATAGTTGCATAGGAGCTCTTGTTTTGACTAAACGAATGAGATAAATAGGATACGTACATGCAAGCTGCAATTAGCACCGGAGAATTCAATGCCATGACTCGTGTTTGACGAATGATACGAGCAATAGTGTATCTGCGGGGTCCGTATGATGGAGGAGGGGCACAGAAATGGGAGTGTCGTACCCACACGCCTTTCTAGCTACATGAGGATGCAACACGCTCTTTATCATTTCCTTTGTGGCAATACTTTGTGGCCAGACAATCCTTGTTTGGAGGAACACCTTCCGGAAAACGCGCCAAGAAATTTAATGGAAAATTGCATTTGCCATTAAAGGGCCCGCAATTGTAAGAGAGGAATCTCTAACCAAGGCCATGACTGGTAAAGGATCGGCTGCCAAACGCAGAACCAGAGATTGCGAGAAATCCAAGGTATGCACTTAAGATGGGACGGGCATCTTTGTCCACCTCGGGATATGATTAGTGCTGCTGTTAAAAAAGGGCTTTCCATAGAAAGAGCTGTTGGACCTCCTCCTGTATCGCGCACCATTAGATAGTCTCACTAGGGTAAGTGTGGATGTAGCAGGGATAGGTCGTTCCAATCATCTGGGTTCCACGAACCGTTTTAATACAATCTTTTAATCGATCAGCCAAGAAACTTACAGCGTTGTACAGTTGTGGCCATTCATAAGGCTGTATAAATGACGGATAATGCAGAACTTTGGGATTTTCGGCAAACAATGATGATGTCTTTCTTCTAGATCTGATAATGCCCAGCCCTTCTTGTTCTTTCTCAAAGCAATAATAATTTCAAAATGTCTTACGGTAAACAGCAATTCCTTTCTGATCTAGGAGGTCTCTCATCCATACACCGACCACCGTTCGTCATCTAATACAAGATGGCTTCCTGGGAGGTGTAATTCATCAGCGGTTATACTTAGATTCCTGAATATTTCTACTCCGACCATCGATTGCCTATGTAGAATCGTGGTAACTAAAGTGTTGATGTGCAGGTCGCAAAGACTCCCATAAAATAGCACGATCACCATATCCAGCAGTCTTCTCAAGGAAGTAGTTAGATCTCACCAACATTGGATGGATACTGGTACCCTCCGATTTGCTTCGGGGCATGGCGCGAAAAGTAGAGCAGATGGCGAGGCGCAGAAAAAGCAAAACATTGAGCCAATGGCAAGGTTGACTCATCGATGACCAGTTGGCCGAGCAAAATAAACCTAAGCCATGGTGGAAAAGAAAGTAGGTTCGCGCGGAGCAACAGGAGTACACAACTACCAAGCTGCAAGCACACCATCCCATCAATTAAGACGTGATCATCGGTGGGTATCAATCGCGATACTATGGAAACGTAACCCTAAATCGTGAAAAGGCAAGTTAACAAGGTAAATGATCCTTCCTCTGTACACTGCCAGGGTCATATGTGGTGTAACCCTGAAATAGAGATATGCAAGCTGTTAGCCCTTGCAGTTAGCCATCAAGAACGGGCGAGTCCAAATCATGGACGATGTTGTATATAGGCTTGCTGGCGGCTGATAAGACAATATAGTACTAAAGAAGACTAAAAACAGGCTGAGCTATTAACAAACGAGTACCAAGTAGCTCGGCTTGGAATACAGAAAGCCACAACGGCTTTCACTGTTTTCTGGTTCCATCTGATCATGTTGGTAGTTCCCGGTGACATTTGAAGTGAGCGACAGACATTTGCCAAACAACAGAAAGCTCTAACCCCCGATAGAGATACTTCCACCAGAACCACCCGAGGCACTCTCCAATGTGGCCGATGAATGACCTGAGGCCTTCTTGTAATTGACATTCCCCCCTGTAGTAGCACCCCCTCCGTTACTCGAGATGTTACCAGTCCGGGTGATCTTGTTCCCACTATTGTTGTAGGTATTGGTGTTGCAACAGTTCTCCGAGGACGTGTTGCCACAGTTAGTCGACGTGGTATTGCCGCTATTGTTGTTCCAGTAATATTGGTTGTTTCTTCCGCCGTGGGAGAAACAGCCTTTCCAGGCCCATGGGTTCGGAGTGGAATTGGGACTTGAATTCCACCTATCGTGGCCCGCATTGTTCCGGAAAGGGTTTCCCTGCCAGGTCCCATTTGGGTGATTACTGGACATTTTGAAAACTGGATAAGTGTATGTAGGAACGGGTAGGTGAGGAGTGGGCCAGAAAGGAAATACAACGTTTGAGGTAGACGTCTAGCAAAAGCCTCCATTCCTACCAATCACCCTCCCTTTATACCACCCACTATTGCGAACACGTCAGTCCGAAGATCCTCTGGGAGTGTATATGATGCAATAGCGTTTCTAGTCTGTTTCAAAGGACACACACTGGAAATTACTGCCCAGAAGCGCTGGTGTGAGGCTTTCAGTTCATGTGGCAGTTAACCTGTATCTAGGCTTCTTCACAGCCCAAGCCCACGGTGGGTTGGGCTTTGGGCCTAGTATAGGGCTCATAATGGGCCCGTGGGCCCCCAATTGGGCCCCAAACGTTGCAAACATAGGACCTTGTGTAAGAAAACATGATTTATTTAACTTAGTAAGCACCTTTATGAATGCCAAGACCAGTATTTCTACAAAAATGGGCTTTGGGGCCATTGGGGGCCCATCGTGGGCCTAGGGGTTGGGCTTGGGCCCAGTAGTCCCCAGGGCCCATGTGGGTTGGGCTTTGGGCCTGGAGTTTGGGCCCATTCATGGGCCCTGAAGAAGACTACCTCTAGCTGATGCCTAACAGAGACCTATCATTCCTTTAGCAATGAGTCACCTGGTCTATTATCAACCACGCAGTATACGTCATTCCACATTTATAGATAATATTTCATCCATCCACTGTTTAGCCTCTATATTCCTGATGATATCATTCCACTGTGCTATTTTCTGGTTTTATTCGTCTAAGTATATGTGATTGACATATTGATATATTGAGCCGCAATGTTTTCCATACACAGAGCCATCCGGCTAGGTACTCCCATATCATTATCTAGTAGGCCGCTGATATGGTAATATGACTATTATGTGGCTGTTATACAACTATTATTAAGTTTAAGTTTCTTTTTTTTTTAACGTTATACATATCTTACCACTATTATATAGTTCTCAGATTCAGGAGAAGTGAGCGAATACCTATCGGAATTTGGGTGCAAACAGTGCAAACATAGGTTCACAGTCGGTGATCGACGCTTGGCCCCACCTAGCTAACGGACAATGTATTGAATTGAATGTATTGAAGTTGATGATACCGGCGAATCTCGCA